CTTCCCTCTCATGCTCTCTGTCTCTCATTCTCTCTCTCAAATAAATAAATAAAATCTTTTTTAAAAAAAAAGAATGTAGTATTTTTATCCTACTACATATAAGGAAGAAGTTGTGTTTTGTATATTTTTCTTACATCCAGCCATATTCCTTGACTGCCATTGGTTTCCTAAGAGTTTTTCATTCTGCAATCGATTAGAGTTTTGGTATTATCTGCACGTAATCTGTTTTCTCTTTACTTTTAAGTTTATCTGATATTTCTGTTTTCCATTATATGCTAGAATTTCCAAAACAATTTTAATACCATATTTCACTTTAAGACTGTTGAGCATAGAACATGCTACTGATTCAAAAATAGCTTTTGGGGGCTACCATATTAGTGTACCACACATTGTAATTCACATTACAGTATCAGAAATGTTAGGGTTGCATCTCAGAATTGAAGAAATAAGATCATAGTAGTAATGGTGGCCCTCCTTATTTTCTCATTTAGTGGGAATGCCTAACCCATTTTAAATATGATATTGGCTATTGGTTTGTTGTTATATGTTTTCAAATGAAAACAAAAGACTAATTCTACCGGACAGTAATGAGAAAGGTGTACTGTTTGGTTTAACTAACACGTGGAGATGGGGCTGTGCACATGTCCTCTCTGATGCACAAATCCCTGGCTACAGAGCGAGGTCTCTCCTCCTTTTGCATTCAGAGCTCCCTGGTTTGCCCTGACCATTAAGGATGGTGTATTCGTTTCCCAGAACTGCAGTACAAATTACTGCAAATTTGGTGGCTCCAAACAACAAGAGTTCTGGAGGCCAAAGATCTGAAATCCGTATTGTTGGGCTGGGCTCCCGCCAGGGGCTCTCCGTGAGAACCCCTTGCAGGCTCTGGTGCTTACCTTGTGGCTGCATCGCTCCTGTCTTCAAAGTCAGCCTCTCGACAGCTCTCTTCACTTACCTTCTCCCCGGTGTGTGTAGTTGGGAATGTTTGCGACCTGGTCAGTGCTGAAGGAAAGGCTTTTAAAGACATGTGTTAGGAATAGCAAAGCCTTTTTCACTCCCTTTGGGAATAACACTGTGGACATCTGGAAATGGCTCTAGTTCAGTGTCCACAAAGTCAGTCCACTGAGAGTTCTGCAGGAGCCCCTCAACCTCCGCCCCTTCTGCTGTCCACAGTCTCCTCCTCGGCCTCAGCTCTACGGCAATGGGGAGACGGGCAGACTACATTTCTTCTAAGACTATTATGAAGACAGAATTCAAAACTGCTCAGTTAAGACTAGAGAGCTTAAAAAAGTAAAGTCAGCATATCATTTATTTTGTAAATTGGTCATTCAAGGAATTGGCTGTTTGGCAAACGGCTGTTCAGCACTTGGCTATTGGTGACATCAGGCTGCTTACCCAGGACACAGTGCAGAGCTGAGGGTCAGAGGCTACGCCTGCCCAGCACAGAGCTGCACCTGTCCCTCTGCCTCCTGCAGACCATGGACATGGGGACATGACCTTGGAGCAAGCTGGGACAGCCCATCCACTTGCAGGCCGGGCCCTAGGGACAAAGAGCAGGCAAGAGTGAATGGGAGGTCCCCCCTTTGGACCCTGACTCAGAGGAGCCCAAATGTGGGCCAGCAGCCAGGTGAGAAGTCGGTCGTATGCCATGTGCCAGGCCAGTCTGGCATAGGAGAGGCAGATTAAGAGAGTCAGGGCTTGATGCATAAAGTTACAAGAAGGTCATCTTGTGGGGTTTTAGCAGACTAAATATGTGTTGATGGTGTAAACTTCCATGTGAAATATTTAGCACAGGCCTGTTAGCCATTATTCTCGTACGGTTTTGACATTGTTACTAATACTGTATCTTCCACGTATGATGACACTTGCTATCACCCTGGTGCCTATAGATAGTTGGTAAATCCACTTTTCTTGCATTTACTGGATAATTTTGATCAGGTATAGGCAGTTTCTGCTAGTAGAGGTGCTGTTAGAGACCTCTGTCTCTGGAGTACTTGAAGCACCTCTTACCTTATTGTAACTTCAAAAGCCAGTCTGGTCATTAACACCAGACATCAGCATAAATACAGCCACTGGGCAGGTCACCGGTCTGTGTGCAGAAAGCCTTACAGGTTATCAGAGCAAGTGGGGTTACTGTGGGAAGATCCTGAGAATATGCTGAGATTATGTTGATGTGGCAGTAGCTGTTTCAGTGAAATCAAAAACCCAGTGATAAAGAGTTGAAGAGAAATGATAACCAAAAAGGCAGGCAATACATGCGTGCCTAGCAGCTCTATGAATTGCTTATTATGGATTTCCTAGGAGTTAAGAACAGGAGTTTTTTGGGGTGCCTGGGTGGCTCAGGCGGTAAAGTGTCTGCCTTTGGCTCAGGTCATGATCTCAGGGTCCTGGGATCGAGTCCTGAATCGGGCTCCCGCTTAGTGTGGAGTTGGCTTCTCCCCCTGCCCTTCCCCTGCTTGTGCTCGCTCTCTGTCAAAGAAATAAATAAAACCTTAAAAGAAAAAAAAAGAACAGTTTATTTATGTGCATGTTCTGTTCTGAAATGATGCCCTAGTAGTTAAAAGTAACTTAGTAATTTATTACTTTTTTTATATAACATGTTGCAAGTTAAGTAGCAAACACTCACAGGCAGGATGTTTCTGTTGCAGCATGGCTCTCTGAGCAAGTATTGAAGGAGAGTGTGCAGAGGTCTGCTTTCCAGAACGGACATAGATGGTTCAGTTGGAGGTAGCCCTATGTGCATAAGGTCTGGCTATAGGAAATGACGGAGTAAAAGCACTGCTGTAAACATGCATCCCTGCTTGCGGTCAGGTTATACACAACAACTCAAATTAATCATTCCAAAGCCAGACTAACATTTATAGTTAAAAGGCAAAGATAACCAAGATTGGAGACTAAAACCACCCCGGCAGCCCAGATGATAACACAACCTTCTCCATCATCAGGGGGAGCACAGGTTCCCAGCGGCACATCGGGAGCCAGATCTTGGCAGCACTGAGAGCACAGAGCCAGGGGCTGTTTGACGCATACCTTACTTTAGATGGTGACTCTCATGTAGGCGCTTGCTAGCAAGGAGCCCTAAGGTGTATGTACACAGGAGGACTTGAATTTGGCATTTGGGGTTACTTCACAAGCAGACACTCACAGGCCCCAGAGGGGAGCACCTGTGTGTTCATGGTGCCTTTATGCACAGAGGAAGCATGGGAAGGGTGGGCACCGGTGAATTAACAGCAGAGGACTGGGGTCAGTTTGTTTGCATTCTCTGAAATTTTCTGCAATTGACATGTTACTTTTGGCTCATTTTTAAAAAGTGCTCCATCCAATAGAACAGCACAGAGATTGACCTCACTGCCTCGTGTGGGAGCTGAAGCAGTCTGGGCGGGGGGTGGGGTGCAGGGGGCGGCTCCTGAGGGAGACTGTCTTCCGGTGCTGGAGCTGCAGGGGCGGAGGACAGTTACACGGCTCGCGCCGACCGGCTCAGGAGCATGTGTCCCCCTCTGCGTCAGCACCACGTCCTGTGTCAGGTTAAAAGGGAGCTTCCCCTGCGTCCAGTAGCTGTGATTGAGGCTTTTCTAGACCATTCTTGTAGAGGGGTCAAAGGCTGTGGGATTGTTTAGCCGGAAGGTAGGAAAAGTGGTAAGACCTAACACATTTTACTTACATGGAAAATAGAACATAGTGAGACAGGCTGGAAGGACAGTAGGGAGAGTTTGTGGTTGTTTTTAACCTTTTCAAATTGTGAAGTATAGCACATCTGTGCAGAAATGTGCATAAAGTGCAAGTGTGTGACTTAATGAATTGTGGGGAAGCAGCCAATATCCGTAGCCACCTCCTTCCTCCCTAGATGTAATCCCCTCCTGGCTTTTATGCAGTGCCTACTACAGTTTTGCCTGGTTTGGGACTTCATGATGTGGAACCAGATAGGACCTATATGACTTCTTTCACTTGCTATCGTGTTTCGATAATTACCCACTTTATTGCATGTGATCACAGTTCTTTTTTTTTTTAAGATTTTATTTATTTATTTGACAGAGACACAGCGAGAGAGGGAACACAAGCAGGGGGAGTGGGAGAGGGAGAAGCAGGCTTCCCACGGAGCGGGGAGCCTGATGCGGGGCTCGATCCCAGGACTCTGGGATCATGACCTGAGCCGAAGGCAGACGCTTAACGACTGAGCCACCCAGGCGCCCCGTGATTACAGTTCTTTCACGTCTGCTGCTATAGAATATTCCATCATTGGCATATGCCACCCTTCACCCATTTTACTTTTCATGGACATTTGGGATGCTTCCAGGCTGGGAGCTGTTGTGAATAAGGTAACTGTGAACTCCATGTACATGTATCCAGGTCTGGAAGTGAAATTGCTGAATTGTAGGGTGTGTATATTCACACCTTCCTATGTAATGGGAAACTTGTTTCCTGTAGAGATCAGGAGCTGCTCCCACCTGGTCTGATCCGATGGTTAAGGTGCCTGTCTGAGGGAAGGGCAGTAAGTCTCTGTGGCCTTCCTGAGCATTTCCCCCATACAGTGAAATTGAGTATTGAGTCCTGTTTTGTAGGTTTGTCCATCTTTTCCATTTCTTCTTTGGACGTTCCTGGTCTTTCTATCCAGTGGTCTATTAGCTAACCAACCCTCTGAAGGTTACTATGTGGAGGATGTGAGGATGTATAACACCTGTTTCCTGCCTGGAGGAGAAGACTGTCAAGGCAGATACATAACCAAGTAACTCACAGCACTGTGATCTTTGTCGAGGGCCATTCTGCCCCACCAGGCTGTTAGTGGAGGATGCATATCCTCAGTGCTTAACACCTTACGTGGCACACACTTAGGGAAGTTCTGTTCAGTGACTGAGGCATTTTCGGAGGATGGTGAAAGTGCTCTAGTAGTGTATGTGCTGAGTCATGGAGAAGCACAAAATAAGGAATTACAAACTGCACCCACTCTCCAGCCCAGAGTGGGGTGAGACTTCCGTGGGAGGTAATATCTTGATCAAGACTGTTTCATCAGGAGTGGAAGAAGTACATTCTAGGCCAAGGAATAAATGTGCAAAGGCACAGAATGGAGAAAGAGCTCACGGCACTGGAAATGTGAAATTGGGATGATGCACCCTTGGAAGGTGGGGATGCTCGGAGGGGATGGTAGAGAAAGGGCGCCAGCTGGACCTCATGCTGGGAGGGGCCGCCTTGTGAATCTCACAGGCAATGGGGATGAAGTGCAGAGGAAACACAAAGTTCTCTTTGGGGAGGGGTGGGGACTGCCTATCACTAGAATTGATCTCTTGGACAAAACAGAGCAAGTGTATAAGCCTATCAGGAAAGCGTTGCCTTTCCCCCTCTGGATAAGTTCTCTCTTGGGAAGTCAAGGTGTAACTCGGGGGAGCCCAGGGGGTGATGCAGAGTGAGGCGTGGATTTATCAGCCCTTTAAGCCTCAGTTTCCACATCAGTCATGTGAGAATCATGCCTACCTTGCAGAGTGGGACCACGGAGGAGGTAATGCCTGGGAGGGACTTAACCGTTGCCTGGAGGAGGAACGTGCAGACCCTAAGTTGTGCCCATGCTGTTGTCGGGTTAAGTTCGTTGATAACGTGCCGGGAACGTGAATAAATGGTCCGCGGCGGGGACTAGTCATTTGCAGAGACCTGCCCCCACCCCCTTCCGCGAGGCCGCCACACTAGCGCTGGACCCCTAGGCAGAGGCCGGAGCCTCAGGCTGTTTCCGCAGAGCTGGGGCGCAGCGAGGCTTGCTTTCCTTCTACTTTGCCCCTTGTACTCCTGAGCACGGCAATGCACGCATTTATGGCTGCTTTCCTAAAGAAAGGCTATCTTGTCCCGCAAGGAAAAGATCAGGTTCGAATCTGCTGGCTCGGTTCAAACCCCTCCTCCCCGCTAAACTTTCCAAAGGGGAAGTCCTTCTGAAGAAACGAAAGTGAAATTGAACCAGGGCCATTTCTCCACCGGCCGCGCGCCCAAGCTGTTTACTGCGCTGCTGACCCCGGGGGCACCTGGCGTCTGCGCGTGGGGGGCGGCTGCGGGGGGGGCGGCCCACCTGGGGAGGGTCGCGCCTGGGTAGGGGGAGGGGAGGCGGTTCGCTAGCACCGCCCCAGGACATGCATCGGGGACGCCATGGACCCCAGGCAGGTAAGTCGGCTCGGCCTCGGCAGGCCAGACCTTGCTGGGCCAGCGCTCCTCTGACCCCTGCGTGCACTCGCGCTTGGGTCGGTGACAGGGTGCGTGGCGTGTTGTGTGCGCGCGCGGGGGGGGGTTGTGTGTGCGCGCGCGCCATATTCTAGGAATTTGCAGCCTGCCTGTGAATTCTGCAGAGCTGAGCAGTGTGGGGGAAGGGGCGCTTAAGGGGGGGATGCGCCGGGTCTGCGGGGCGCGGCCTGAGCCCAGGGCTAGGCGGCCCCCTCCCTCTCGGCGAGGGCCCAGAGTTAGCGCCTCCTGGGAAACATGCTTCAGTTTTATCCTTCCCTCTCTGCACCCTTTCCACTTTCTTTAGGCTTTTGAGAAATGAAAAATAGCCCTTCTTACCTGTAGGAGAAAATTTATACCCATCGCAGCTGTGTTCGTTATTGCTAAAAACTGGCAAAGCCCAAATGCCCTCCAACAGATGATCGATCAGATTAGCAAACTGCATAGCTCCATACAGTGTATGTGGCTAGGCCAGAAACGCGAGGAGCTCCTGATTCCACAAGTGGAACCTCACATCCACCACCCTACGCAGAGGAGGCTGGGCTCAGAAGACTGTGCGCTTCTGGGTCCCTTTACTTGACATTGTGGGAAGAACAAAGCTAGGGGGCCAGGAAGCAGATGGTGGCTGCCTGATGGTGGCTGCCTGATGGTGGCCCGACCCCGGGCCTGGGTGTCGGGGAAGGAGCTGATTGCAGAGTGCATGAGAACTTTCTGGGGAGATGGAAATGTTCTGTATCCTGATTGTGTAGTAGTTATAGGGCTGTATGTGACTCCATACAGTCAAAACTCATAGAATAATAAACTGAAAAGGATAAATTTTATGTCTGTAATTATACTTCCATTTTTTAAAGTTATATATATATTTTTCATTCCCCTCTTCCAAAGGATTAGGGACACCTGACCTGAAGGAAAGCATTTCTTCACACATACCAATATATGACCCTGTGGAGCCCATGTGGTACAGGTGGGGGCTCAGCTCTGGATCCTAAACACAGAGATTAGATGAAAGTGAAATGATGGGGTATGGCTGTGAAGTGGCTTGGGGATGTTGAGGGACTTAGGAAGGATCCCCATGGGCTGGTTGCCACAAGCTCGCTCTCACCATACAGAGCCTCTCCACATGGCTGTTCTCAAGCCATGCTTTGGCTTAGCTTTTAGAAGACTTAAGCGGGCATAAAGACAAAATAATCTCCCTGTAAATTTCCTTAAAATAACTATTGTAAACAAATACATGTGTATTTTCCTTCCTTCTTGTCTGTGTTCACTCCAGTGTGCACACACATGCACATAATGGTGAGACTTTGCTTTCTGTTTCCAAAATGCGCATAGAACCTATCTGTACTTCAACTTGCTTTTTTGTTGTTATTTAATTCAACATTGTATCATTCCTAGACTTTCTCCAGGTGGATATGAATAGATCCTAACACATTGTTTAAAAAAAAAAAAAGTACCGTTCCATAGCATGAATGTGTCATAATTTACGGGTGCCTTTTCTATAGACATTCAAATATTTTGCAGATTTTAGCCAAGTAGCAGCAGTTTAAATCTAGCATTTAGCTAGATGGACTCTAACTGCTTTGTAAAATAATTGTTCTACCAAGGTCACTCCAACAGCTAATGGGAAAATCCCTGAAGTCCCCATAATTCAGCTGTGAGCTGGGCACTCACTCTCTGTGACCGCATAACGCTTTGGTCCCTAGCAGTATGGTAGGAGGCAGGGCAGTGTGCAGCAGGAGGAACAACAAAGAGACGGGGTTGACCCTCTAGGGACGGCTTGTTGCTGCAATCACTAATTCAACAAATGTTGGTTCAGGATCAACTTGATGCCAGGTGCTATCTTCAGTGCTAGGGGTGCAGGGATAACTGAGACCTAGTCCTCGCCCCCCCGCCCCCCGGGAGCTCGCCGTGAAGTCGGCTGTGTCCCCACCGCATCAGTACTTGATGGAGAGTATCGGGAGTGGAGGCTTGAGTATCATTTCTGGAGCACTTAATATTGGTAATCACCTTGCAGATACACCACAATTTGTATGCGCCAGTAAAAAAAACGCAGTGGTGTGACCAAAGGTAAAGTAAGTGGTATAATAGGAGTTGAGGGGGGGGGCTCAAGGAGAGGAAACTTCCATGGGCTGTGAGTCAGAAGTCTCCGGAAGAAGGTGGCATTTAAGGAGAACTCGAAGGAAAGGGTGAGACTTGTAACGGGGCCAGTGGAGAGACCAGCAGGCCCACTGGGTTGGAATGTAGGGGTACAAAGATCAAGGCTTCGTGGCAGCCTCGTGAGAAGTAATTAGGGGCTGGAGCTGGAAAAAGACACATTTATGAGAAACTACGGGCTGGGGGTAGACAAGATGGCACTTAGCAGCTACCCTAGTAGATGTGGGAGGTGAGGAAGGAAGGCAGGCAGCAAAGCTGGCTCAGGTTTCTACCCCTAATAACCGCGGGGAGAACAATGCTGTCAACAGTCGTAGGAACAGCAGAAGGGGCTGGGTTGAGGAAAAATGTTAATCTGGTTCAGAATATGTGGTGTTTGAAGTAGGGCAGGGTGGACAGACTGTCTAGGCATTTGGAAATTCAAGTCTTAGCTTTACAAGGTGGTGGCTGGGGGTAATAGATTGGAACACTGTTGTTTCTTAAGAGGGCTAATTTAGGTAGGGGGGCGTGAAACCAGCCTGGGGGAGGAAGAAGAGGCCCTTAGACAAAACCTTAGGGACTGATTCTACCTAAGAGTAGAAGAAAGGGACATGGAGAGACAGCGGAAGAGAAGGGGCAGGAGACCGTGGGAGGGGCGTTGGTAAAGAAGAGCCTCCATCCACAGGGAGCCAGTGTGTGTTTGTGAAACTGGATTGGCCACCAGGCGGGACACTGAATCCAAGTTCAGGAGGAGCAGGTTACCCTGCCAGCACCTTGTGGAAGCCTCGGTGTGGGAAGAGGGGGCAGGGCCCATGGGTAGAGGAGGGAACTGGCCGTGAGCCCCGGGCTGATTGAGGATGTGTGTGAGGCCAGAATGAGGAAGCCTGGGGAGCCGCTGACCACAGCCACGGCTGGGCCCTTGTGCGCCGGCCCTACAGGAGTCCGGGGCGGAAGCTGTAGACACACAGGGAAGTTGCCACCGGAAGAGAGCGGGACTCGGCAAACTCAGCCCCCAGACCCAGGGTTGCCCATGTCGTGTGCACCTGCCTTAGAGGCCCAACTGGTCCTTTCCTGGGAGAGCGTTTCCGGGTTTGAGGAGCGAGGGTGCCGTGAGCATGACGAGCCACGTGCTAAAATCCCTGGTGCTGACGGGCTGTGGGGGAGAGAAGGCTGGTTATTGAAGGCAGGGCATAGCTGCCCACAGGTCACTGGGGCTTTCAGGGTGCTCAGACAGGAGGGACAAGCAGGAGGAAATGTCGTTTCTAGATGTCGCCCCCCAGGTCCCTTAAATACCTCCTGCCACCTCTCCCATCCGGTGGACAGCACCTGGGACAGGATGAGCTGGCCCGTGTGGGTAGGGGACACAGGTGTGCAGTGTTCTGGGAGGTGTGACCGTTCGGGGCCGCCTGTGTCCCGGGGGACAGGATTCTGAAGGGCAGGAGGCAGAAGCAGCTGTGGGGAGGCAGCGCAGGGACTCGGGGGGATGGGACTGAAGTGCCCAGGAATGGGCCCCGCCAGCGCCACACATCCGGGGGAGCCTGGGGGGTTCGGGCAGAGGTGCCCGGTGTCTCTTCCAAACCTGAGCACCACACTGAAGTGTGAGGACAGTGTGTCTTTCCTTTCCTAGGGAAACCATCCTGCCCCCCAAACCATTCTGGGCCTCCCGGGGTGGCAGTGGCGAGCAGAGGAAGCTGTGAGGTCCCCAGGCGGGAAGGTGCCCCCGTTGCCACCTTGAAGGGCTGGGGCTCCAGGTCATCCAGCCCACGTGCATTTTGTTCTCGCCATCCAAATGGTAGATTTGAGACGGGGGTCCTGCCCAGGCCCCTTCTTGATCCCGGGACGCCACTGGCATTTTTAGGTTATTCTGGTTTTGCTTTAAAAACAAAATAAGTATTTCTTTATCTTTATCTTAAAAGGGTACTTACTTTGGGAAGTGGGAGGATTCATTCCCCCTAAAATCCTGTCAAAGGGGAGAGAATGTACTAGGGTGGCGGGAAAGGCCCTCCTGAGGCGTCAGCGCCCCATGTGCCCCTGGCGGCTCCGCGTGCGCCGCCTTCCGCTCCCTCACTCTTCCCTGTGGCGGCCCCCGGGCCGTACTGGGCGGGGGGCGGCCTTGCTGGGTCACATGCCCGGCCCTCCCTCACCCCTCCCCCCATCGGGAGGCAGGTGCGGCCCCCCAGGCAGAGAGAAGGGGCGGGCTCACTGCCGAGGTCCTCATTCGCTTCCCTTTCCATCTTGTCTTCTGCAGGGGTGTTCGCTCGGCCGATACCACCCCCATCCGTTTCAAGGCTATGAGCACAGCAAGCTCAGACACCGACAGCCAGGGCCAGGATCTGCCCCGGATCGTTTCCAGCTCCAGCAGATAGAGTTTCTCAGGGGGCTGCTCCCTGAAGCGCCCCTGCCTGGGAAGCGGACGCCATCACTGCCACCATTCGTCTCTGGACTTGGGCCACAGTTTCCACGACCACCTGCCAGGAGCAGGGAACTGGGGACTTGGGGTGGCCCCAGGGGCGTGCCTCCCAGAAGTCAGGTGCTCCAGAGAGGGTCCCCGCGTCCTGCCCCCCACGGCAGGACCCTGCCGTGGAGAGGGGTCGACAGGCTGTCCTCACATTTCCAGGAGCTAGGTATCAGCCAGGGCCAGGAAGAGAGGGTCTTGGAGCTCTTCCTGCAGGAGCTTGGGGAAGGGAAGGCTGCCACAGCACATGATCTGGCCAGGAGGCTCAGAGTCCCGAAGAAGGAAGTCAATCGAGTTTTATATTCTCTGGAGAAGAAGGGCCAGCTGCATCAGGAGGCAGGAACGCCCCCTCTGTGGAGAGTCGCCGTGCAGGCTGGGAGCCAGCACAGCCAAGTAGCCAGCGCCCCCGGCCGTGGCCGGGAAACGCCCGCCTCACAGCCCAGTTTGGACATTGAAGACAGACACTCAGAGTCTGGCTCGGAAGCTCCTCCCGACCCTTCTGACATGGCTGAGATCAAGGAGAAAGTCTGTGACTACCTGTTCAGCGTGTGCGGCGCCTCTGCCCTGAATGTGGCCAAGAATATCGGCCTCACCAGGGCCCGCGATGTGAACGCCGTGCTGATGGAGCTGGAAAGGCAGGGTGACGTGTACCGGCAGGGCACCACTCCTCCCGTGTGGTATCTGACTGACAAGAAACGGGAGCGGGTCCAAATGAAGAGAAACGCAGCCCTGGGCCCCGAGGCCATCCCAGCTGCCGTCCCCGAGACTGGAGGAGACGCGGTGCTCCCCTCCCGTCACCCGGCCGCGCCGGACGCCTCGGACAGTGTGGCAGCCGCAGAAGTGCAGAATGGGCAGGAGCCAGTCCTAAAGTTGGAAAACCGGCAGGGGACTGCGCCAGAGCCAGTAAAACTGAAGCCACCTGCCCACGACAACGGCCCCTCGAGAACAGGGTATGTTGACTTTGAAAATGGCCAGTGGGCCACCGACGACATCCCAGATGACTTGAATAGCATCCACGCGGCACCAGGTGAGTTTCGCGCCATCATGGAGATGCCCTCCTTCTACAGTCACGGCTGGCCGCGTTGCTCGCCCTACAAGAAACTGACTGAGTGTCAGCTCAAGAACCCCATCAGCGGGCTGCTCGAGTATGCCCAGTTCGCCAGTCAGACCTGTGAGTTCAACCTGCTAGAGCAGAGCGGACCACCCCATGAGCCTCGGTAAGAGACCGCCTGGGAGCCGGACCCACCCCCACCCCAGAGCAGCGTGTGGCAGCCCCCGCCTCTTCCCTTTGCTTCTCTGGCTTCTGGTTAAATCGCCCCTGTCAGCCCTGCCTCCTGGGCTGGAGCAGGAAATGCAGGCCTCGCACCAGCCAGAGTTCCCGCCGAGCCGAGGGGGAGCCTGACGCTCTGGCTGGAAGGCAGCTTCTTTGGCCGTGCCTCAGTGTCACGGGAGGTCATGAAGCCGGGACTCCCCTCCCCCCTTCCGTGGGTGGAGCTCCCCAGGGAGGTGCAGGAGCAGGTGGGGCAGGCCAGGCCGTGCAGCCTCCTGCTCAGCTCCTGCTGGGACGGGGTAGTGTCGGGGTGGGCGGCCCACCTGTGAGAGGTGGCGGTTCTAGGGTCACACACCTCTTCTGCACTTGCTCTGGTTCCTGAGCTGTGAATCAGAAAGTTCCTTGCTCAGGCTGCTGGCCAGACAAGGGAGAGGGGTGGGCCCAGATGAGGCTGCTGCCGGGGGCAGAGACCGTGCAGCGCCCCGCAGAGCAGGCCGGGGGTGGGGGTGCGGGGAGTGAGTTCCACTGCCCTTTACCTTAGCCGCGGGCTGGTTCCCAAGGCCATGGTCCCAGCTGTGACCCTCACTCCTCACGTCGACTGTCTCTGTGACAGGGAGGCGTTGCAGGAGGGCTGTTGAGACGGGTGTGTGTGTCCGAAGGCCGGCGGGGCCAGGACTGGTCCGTGTCTGGGACAGAGGCTGGGTGGCCGTCGGGCCCTCTTTTCCCTCCCCGCCCCCCCGAACTGGGGGAGAGCGGTGGGTTTTGCAGTTAACCTTTCTTTGGACTCCAGCTGTAAGAAACGTTGGTGCCATACTCAAATATTTCAAAAGACCCAGGAAATAAGAAATTTGACCTACCTTTCTAAATCGAAATCCCAGATTGAGCAAAGAGCCAAACAGATTTGAAAACTTGAGCACAGGAGGTCCAAGCTAAGTCCGGAGGCCTGGAACAGAGGCTTTTTGGTTTTCTACATTACCAGGGAGACGCCTTTCGCGTCAGGCTCCGGACACGTGGAGCCGTAGAGTGAGCCAGACCCAGCCGTAGCGCGCTGGGTCTCTGGCGGAGGCTGGGGAAAGGAGCAGGCCCCGGGGAGCGGCAGGTGCCCGATCCCTGTAGGCCGGTGGGAGTGTGAGGCTGTGCGGGAAGGAGCCTTCGCCGACTCGGGGACCCATCCTAGAGGTGGCCGGTCGGCCGCAGCTGCTTCAGAACGAAGGCCGTGGGTGGCTGCAGTGGTGGTTTTAGCTCATCGTGTTTCGTACAGGCTCTCTCTTGACTCATTGTGAAGGGAGGGCGGGTCTCCCCTGAGCTGTGCTCACTCCAGTGAGCTCTGGGGAGAGCCGCTGGCTGCTTTGTTTCTGGAAGGTGGGAGGCTGAGATCCCAAAGGGACAAGAGCCCCTCCGTGTAGCAGGAGGCTCCAGGGTGCAGGGCCCCGGGGGCCGCTGGGCAGGGACAGCCGGCCTGCACTCACACATCTACTCCCTTCCCGTCAAGATTCAAATTCCAAGTCGTCATTGGTGGTCGAGAGTTCCCCCCCGCTGAAGCCGGCAGCAAGAAGGTGGCCAAGCAGGACGCAGCCCTCAAAGCCATGACCATCCTGCTGGAGGAAGCGAAAGCCAAGGACAGCGGAAGACCGGAAGAACCATATGATCCCACAGAGAAGGGGTCGGAGAAGGTAGGCATCCTGCCCTCTGCGGGCCCCGCGCTCTGCCCACGTCGCTGTAGCAGCGTCTGACCGACCCCCGCAGGCGGTCTGAGTGCCAGCAGCCGAGTCCGTGGCTCAGAGGCCGCATCCCCCTCCCGCCGCTGCCCCTCTTGGCCATGCTCCCCTACCCTCACACCCAGCACCTCTGCTTGCCCGCCTCCCAGCCCAACTGGAGTACAGACCTCCAGGCTGGAAAGCGACCTTAAAGCTGGCCGAGTCCAAGCACCGTTGTTGGCAGATAAGAAACGAGACCCAGACCGTCTCAATAACGTGCCCGGAAACTCTCCCTTTGGAACGTTAGCCCCTCGCATGTGGCTAACCCATCGCCGCTCCGCCGGGACGCGCCAGCCCGTGGTTTCTCAGCCGTTTCTCGTCTCTCGTTTTCTCCAGATGGCAGAGTCCCAGCCCAGCACCCCTTCCGCAGCATCCTTGTTTTCTGGGAAGAACCCCGTCACGACCCTGCTTGAGTGTGTGCACAAGCTGGGGAGCTCCTGTGAATTCCGTCTCCTGTCCAGAGAAGGCCCTGCCCATGACCCCAAGTACATCTCGTGTCATGTATCTCTGCTGAGGTTTTCTCCAAAGAGAGAGAAATTCTCCTGCTTGCCTCCCGAGAGGCGGCCCATTACCCCACTGAGCAGTCCGCCTGTTTTCAGTACGGACAGTGGGGAGCCACGAGGCGTGCCCGCTGCTGTGGAGCAGTCAGTCTGGGATTGGGAACTCCGAGGGCGAAGTGGGGACTGAGCGCTAGGGAGACGCTCGGCCTGACGGTTGCCAGTGGTGGGTCTGAAAGGCATAGATCTGGGCGTACCTGAGGCTCCACACACCTACACGTTCCGGAGGGGGTTCCCGGAGGAGGCACAGCCAGCTCGGTGCTCACGTGCCCCTTAGGGTCAGCCAGGCTGAGAGAGGCCGGGGGCAGGAGGAGGGCCCAGGGCACCGACTCGTCGAGGCAGAGGGGCCGCGTGGGCCAAGGCCCAGAGGCAATGTGTGCAAGGACCCACCAGCTCATAGAGGACGGCCCGGCGGGAGGGGGTCTCTGCCGTCAGTGCCGCTTTAACCCGGCTCCTCCCCTCTCCTGCCAGGTTCCAGTACTGTGTCGCCATGGGAGCCCACACTTTCCCCACCGCGAGCGCCCCCAGCAAGAAGGTGGCAAAGCAGATGGCTGCAGAGGAGGCCATGAAGGCTCTGCACGGAGAGGCCACCAGCTCGGCGCCTTCCGATACCCAGGTGGGCCGTCCTAGCGGCCGTGCAGCTCAGCATTGCCCCTGTGTCCCTCAGAGTTTCCGTAGGTGCTTATGGTTCCTCTTTGTGTGGCTGATTCTCCTTCAGCCTGGGGGCACGAACACAGAATCCTTCGATAACCTGGAGTCTGGGATGCCCAACAAGGTCAGGAGGATCGGCGAGCTCGTCAGATACCTGAACACCAACCCTGTGGGCGGCCTGCTAGAGTACGCCCGCTCCCACGGCTTCGCGGCCGAGTTCAAGTTGGTCGACCAGTCCGGCCCTCCGCACGAGCCCAAGTGAGTGTCCTAGCCCTGCGGCAGCCACACGCCCCGGGGCGGGGAGAGGACGGTGCCGGGGTCGGGGCCCGCAGGAACAGGTCCGGCCCTGGAAGACCCACAGTCTGGAGAGTACAGTCATTCCTACAGCAAGTATGCTCCTTTTCATTGTTTTTGGTTAATTTAATTTTTAAAGGAATATGTGCATAGAAAATCATTCAGGCCAGCTTAAAAAGGATGCAGGGAAAAGTCTCCTTTCTCCCTCAGGCTGATAGTTTCCTTCCTCAGACTTACACACTATTACTAGCTTCTTGAGTACTTCTTGAAATTTCCATGCACTTATTAGTACATTTTCTTTGTTTTGCTTTTTAAACAAAAATAAGTATAAATCCTGTCTTCTGTCCTACACCTGCCTCCTTACCAGTGCATCTTAGAGGTCATTGCACGTCTCAGATGCACACACCGATCATATTCCTTTCTGTAGCTACGTATTTCTATACGTTTTCTGAAGCTTTTTTTTCTTTTTTTTAACGTAAGCTCTGCACCCAGGGTGGGACTTGTCATGGGCCTGAGACCAGGAGTCCCACGCTCCGTGGACTGAGCCGGCCGGGCGCCACCCACAGCTGCATATTCCACTGAATAGATGCTTATAATTTTAGAGTTTTATCGAGCAAGAGATATAAAGGTCTTTCCTAAAACAGCCGCCCCTGTACCCACCACCTAGTTTAGGAAAGAGAACATTGCTCTTGATGTTATAGCCCCCACTTTGCATTACTGATCTAATCAATTTGCCGCGACGTCTGGGTCAGATGCGGTCTTGCTCCTGGAAGCAGTCTTCATGCTCTGTCTGCTCTCCGGGGCAGACATCTTCAGGAGGGGCATTTCTGGGCGATAGGTCACATACAGTTTTTAAGGGTTTTGTTTTTTGCGTAGATAATATAGCTCCTTAAAATGAAACACAAGACTCTGGTCCTCACCCCTCCCTCCCCCACGGCCCAGCTCTCCCTTCCTCACACCCTGACATATGCCAACACGCGGTAACTTCACAGCCCCGTGCATCCTTCCAGAGCATCTTCATGTAAGCGTGGGCTGAGCTGGTGTGTTTCTCCACTTGCGACGCGGACGTGGCCGTGCGCACTGACACCCGGCTTGCTGTTCATACGTAACAGGAGCATCCCATTCTGCTCTTTGTTGGAAGGTGCTCCGTAGTTCCCCAGGGCACTGACCTGGGCTGCCCACCAGCCCCTAGAGACCGATATACCAGCACTGAACGCTGTTTTCACTTCTTGCCTTTTTTCATAAAAGCAAAAATCCTCTTCAGATTTCTTTTGGTTGGTGGAAACAGGTACTTACGTAGGTCTTTAGTAAAGGGGGAGTGGTGTAACATGAACTTTGGAAACGGGATATCTGAATCAAATTTTTATCTTTGCCATTCTAAAATGTGAGAAATGATGTCTTTGTGCCATGCAAAGATTAGTCTGTGTTAGGATGTTTGTTATTATTATTTACCAGATAATAATGACAAAACTCAGAATCCTCTCCAGAGATTCCAAAAAGGCTTTTCGTAAAATTTAGCATTCATTCAGATTAAAAAACCAAGCTGTTAATAAAGTAGAAATTATTGAGTACCTGCTTAATAGCAGGTACTCAATGTATGTCTGAAGCCAAAAGCCAGGCACTTATTCCATGTTGAACTGGGAGCTGTTCACAGCAAGGTCGGGACACATGGATGCCCAGGTCCACGTTATTTTGAGGCACGCTAGCACCACGAGCTCAGGCCACCCATTAAGACAGAGGCGGGGAGAGGAAGCTTCTGTTACGTGCGGATGGATGATGTGATTGTGTACCTGAGGTATGCATGAGAGGCGGGAAGAAATACCAGAGACAGAGGGGAAGTCAGGAAAGCAGGGAATTGTGAACTAACCTGCAAACGCCGGGAACTTTTCTGTGTGCGGCAGTAAGCAATTCGAAGATGTAGTAGGAGAAAGTAGCCTGTTTGCAGCAGCAGCTAAACAGATAAAAGACCTGCGCACATTCCGAGCAGGAGACATGCAGGCTCTGATAACTCTGTGATCAGATAGAAAACACAATTTAATGACTGCAGCTGTCCCCAGATTAGTGTTTACGTTTCACACGATCCTACTAAAGACACTGGTAGGATTGGCTTCTTTATTTTAGACCTGGAAGACCTGAGTCCCAGGTTCGTATGAAAAATCCCATGTGGGGGGTGCCTGGGCGGCTCAGTTGTTGAGCATCTGCCTTCGGCTCAGGTCATGATCCCGGGGTCCTGGGATCGAGTCCCTCATCGGGCTCCCTGCTCAGCGGGGAGCCTGCTTCTCCCTCTCCCACTCCCCCTGCTTGTGCTCACTCTCTCTGACAAATAAAATCTTTGCAAAGGGAAAAAAAAAGAAAAATCCATGTGGGAGAATAGCCAGAAAGTTCTGAAAGAGGCATGGGCCGCACGGCCGTGGCGCGTTGACCAGTGGGCGGGACAGCGGAGGGTGCGGCCCCCAGAGCCCCTCACAGCAGACGCAGAGGCAGGCGAGGCTTCAGGTCGGGGGTGGCTGGCCCCCTGCATCTCAATAAGACATCGCTGGGTGTCTGTCTCCTTGCTAACGTCTGATTTCATTGTCAGGGACTTAAATATAAACTAGGGGCGCCTGGCTGGCTCAGGCAGAGGAGCGTGTGACTCTTGATCTCGGTGTTGTGGATTCAAGCCCCATGTTGAGTGTAGAGATTGCTTAAAAATAAAATCTTAAAAATACATAAAATCATAAAATCTCTAGATAAAAGCAGGGATTTTTGCTTGAGAATTTTGGAGGGGCACAGCCTTTCCAATCAAGACATAAAATCATAAAGAAAAAAGACAGAGGTGTGGCTGTCAGGAGAATCGGTGTGTCTTAGAAGAACCACCTGAGGCTAAAACACTAGGGCCAATTTTCTTAAAAGTAAGGGGTTCTTTTCCAATGAGAGGTGTGTGAGTTAAATGTACACGTCGTCAGTGTGCTCCCAGCGTCCGCCAAGTCTCATCCCGAGCCTTAGGCCCAGGGTGGAGAGCAGCACCCTCACCGCGGGGGCGCCCCCGTGCTGTTTGTCACGGACAGCCTGAGATGGTCTGCACCTCTGCCGCCTGCAGACTGTTGAGTCGCAGTGCCCGCCCAGCACGGAGCGGCACTCAGCCCGTGAGAGCAAAGCTGGCCGACAGCGCGGGGCCAGAAATCTGGTCCCGGTGTTTGCTTCTGGGAATGAGGGACACTTACTCCCCTCGTATACCTAACGATTTGAATGTTTACTTGTGTCGTATCCTACTGCTCAATTTTAAAAGGTGGTTAAAGGAGAAGAGCTCACAAAATAGTGTCTTATTTTAAACTCGTCTCCATAGTCCGTGACGTTACTCATGTTCGCATGCATCTGTTACTGCTCCCGTGTATGAACTACCCATCTGTGCCCTTGTCCGTCCTTCCTTTGGCTTTGGCTTAACTCACGGGAGAACATGACCGCAATGAGGAGGGAATTGAGACCTCTGGCCCGGGGCCCCGGGAAAGGCCCTCCTGCCCCTGCGCTGGCGCTGGCTCGCGCGGGGCCTGCCTTTTGCACCCGGCAGCCTTCCCCTGCCGTCACCCTCGCTCTTCACACTTGCCTTTTGTCCGGCCTCCTCTTTTGCTTGCGTGAAACCCGCCCTTGGACTTCCCGAGACTCGTGCAGAATTTAAGAACTTACCGTGAAGCAGGGGGAGGGCGTGAAGACTCCTGAGCGCCTCAGGGAGGGGGCCCCAGGGGTGCAGGCAGGAGGGCCGCCATAACGTCTGTGGCGGGAGAACACGGCTTCCCTCTGTCAGCCCTTCTCTCGGCCCTTCTGGGCGACCTTACTGGAAGGCGCCAGCGGGCGGAGGGAGGGTGGGGACACAGCTGGCCTCGCTTCGACTGGGCCTGTCGAGTCTGACCTGCCCCAGGGCGAGCTCTTGGGTTTCGCCCCTCATGCTCTTTCCCCCATGTCCGCAGGTGACCTCACTGTCCACCCAGTAGCTCCTGCCAGCAACCTGGTGTGGGTCATTGTGTCCACCCCCTTCACCTCCTTCAGGTGGGCCAGCCTCAGGCCCTGCGTCCTAGACGTCCCGCTCTCCAGCGCCCCCCTCCTGCCTCTGGCAGCCGAGCCTCTTCTCCCCTCTAAACGGCTCTCCCTCCTTTGCTCATTCATTGAGAGACCGTTTCTGGACCCCATTCCGTTTGTTTGGACAGGAGCCAGATTTGGACCAGTAATCACATAGGGAGACGTAAGGTCTCCTATCTCGTGCATGTTACAAAGAGCTCGAGGTACATGGTGGGTTGAGAATCTGCTGGGCGTGGCCTGACTTCGTAAGACTTCGTAAGGCGCCTCGGCCTGGGGACAGTCAAGAGAAAGCCCGAGGTTCTGGGAAGGGGCTGGTTCACCCCAGGCCTGCGGTGGGAGGGAGCAGAGCGGGCAAAGGGCGCCGAAAGCCCTCCCAGGGCCAGTCTCTTGCTCCCACCGCCCACGGCCCTCCTCCCCAGCATGTTCACTACTCTGTTTTTGTACTGAATTCTCTTTCCCAGTCTAAGCCGTTTTAGACCCTGCTCTCTTTATGTAGACTTCCACCAAAATCCCCTCTCCTTACTCGAAACCGATGATCTTCCATCGCGCTTAATTGAGAAAAGCAATGACGATATGACAGATGCCTTATCGTTCCATCGCCAAACCTGCGGGTCTGCATCTGCTTTGTTGTGTGGCCCACCCAGCCCCCCGTGCCCTGGATCCCCTTCCACGCACCACCTCCCTCCCTCACCCCTGCAAGCTGCAGCCAGTCAGCAGGCTCCACAGCGGTGTGAAGCACCCGGCAGGCATCTCCCCGCCGCCCTGCGCCTTCCGCCACCTCACCTCCTCCTGTCTTTAGTGTCTTTGCTTCCCTAACTCACTGTCCCCAGCGGTCCAGGGAAAGGCAAACCACGGGCCTCCTACGGTTACCAAGTAAGGGAGTGCAGCTGGCGAGTACCCTAGAGCCCAGTGCAGCCTTGGGGGTCCCGGCGTATGTCCTACAGCCTGCACCAAGTACGGAGTGCCATATCCACGGACACACCTCCTTCCACTGCGCTTTGCTTGTTGCAGCTTTGCGGGTACCGGCTTTTTACAGAGGACTGCCAGTCGCAAACCTGCGTCGGGCCATTTCTCCAACAGCATTTGCTCACTCTGTGTCTCTGGGTCTCATTTCAGTGATTCCCACAATATCTAAAATTTCCTGTTATTATATTTAGTGATCGGTGATTACAACTTGCTGAAAGCTCAAATGACGGTTAGCGGGTTTTTTTTTTTTTAGATATTTTATTAAGTACTTTTTAATTAAGGTATGTATACTGTTTTTAGACCTAATGCTGTTGTACACCTAAGAGACTCAGTATAGTATAAACATGACTTTTATGTGCACTGGAAAACCAGAAAATTTATTTTATCTTGCTTTACTGCAATATTGGCTTTATTGTGGTGGTCTGGGACTGAGCCCATGATGTCTCTGAGGTGAGCCTGCATATATATATTTGTGTGTGTGTGTGTGTATCTTTGTGCATAGAATTCATATTCTTTCCAAACACATGGAACAGGCATGAGATTCTCCTGAGTCTCAGGCAAAGGTCCTGCCCGGTTTGGCCCCCACTGCTTTCCAGCATCTTTCATGCCATGTCCCCCTCCTTCACGGACCTTCCGTTAGCCCACCGGCCCGCACACACCTGCTGGCACAGGGAGGCATGCGCTGCTGAGGATAAGCAAGGAGGAGTGGGAAGCTCAGTGTGGTTGAACATACAGATTGATTCCTTTTACTGCCTGAGCCGATGAATCTCGGTAACAAAGCCATATCTGCAGGTGGATTATCCAGAGCTGGCTTCGCCCACCAGCAGTTTAGGATGTGACTGGGAGCCAGGATTCTTGAAACCTTGGCTGGTGGATGCCCCGTCACGCTCTCCCGTCCGTGTCCTGGGCTGTCCTCCCTCCCACGCCCCGCACAGCTCACGTGCCCAGGATGCACTCCCCTCGCCTCACCATGGCCATCCCGAGGCTTCCAGGAATGAAAGCTTAGGTCCCTTGTCTACAGCAGACCGTGACGTTCTGACCGCTCCAGGGTGCGTCTGGGCCAGTCAGGAAGTGAATGAGGAAACAGGATCCAGCACTTCAGCCTTAGGGTGTTGAATGGTAGCGATTCGAGTTGGGAGAGCATGTCCCTCTCGGTTCTGCTTGAGTTATGAAGGGAAGTGCCCATCTGGCTATTTCTCTAAGCCCCGTCCAGGCCGAGCTCCCCTCACAATGCAGGCGGCCGTGGCGCCTCGTCGGCGTTCAGTGACACCGTGCTGTCACTCGGCTCTGGGCCCCCTTCGATCTATGGCAGGGGGCTCCTAGTGTTCACACGAAGTGTCCCCTCTGCGTGTGCTTGCGTTTGAGCAGAGCCGGGTTAGAGAAGAGTGTGCAGCAGGGGGCAGACAAGGGGCATCTCCCGGGGCGAGTCCCCGGAGCCTGAGCCTGGGAAGCAGCTGTGTCCGGTCAGGCGCTTGCCCTTACCCCCTGCTTCTCATCCCAAAGGTTCGTTTACCAGGCAAAAGTCGGGGGCCGCTGGTTCCCGGCCGTCTGCGCGCACAGCAAGAAGCAAGGCAAGCAGGAGGCGGCAGATGCGGCCCTCCGCGTCTTGGTCGGGGAGAACGAGAAGATGGAGCGCATGGGCTTCACAGAGGTAACCCCAGCGGCGGGGGCCGGTCTCAGAAGCCCTGTGGCCTCCTCTCAAGGCCCCAGAAGCACAGCCAAAGACCGTTAAGACGTCTGCTCTTGGTGCGCTGTCTTTGTGGGGTCCTGCTCACTCCTCTTTGGGTGGAGCTGGCTCTTAACTTGCTCTCCTGTGACGTAGTCCTGGGCTTTCGTTGGCGCCTCAGTGACACGCAGAGCCAGGCCAGCACGTGCGAGAGGGAGAGGCGGCTCAGCCGAGGGCGCTCGGCCCGGCCCCACGCGGCGGCCCTGACGCAGCCTTGTACCCGCAGCTTCCCCTCACCGGCAGCACCTTCCACGACCAGATCGCCATGCTGAGCCACCGCTGCTTCAACGCGCTCACCAACAGCTTCCAGCCCTCCCTGCTCGGCCGCAAGATCCTGGCCGCCGTCATCATGAAGAAGGCCTCCGACGACCTGGGGGTGGTGGTCAGCCTGGGGACAGGTCAGCGAGGCCCTCCTCTGGGGCTGCGTGGGCACGCCTGAGGCCGGAGCCCAGGCTCTTCCGTGGCTCTCGTGGCCGCCATCTGCGCGCATGGACGGGGAAGGGGCGCGGGAGGCGGGGGCGGTACTTGAGGCTGGCCCCGTCCTCGGCCCCTCACGACCCACCTCTGTGGGGGCGCCTGGGCTCAGGTCGTGATCTCAGGGTCCCGATGTCCGGGTGGTGGGATCCAGCGCCTGCGATCTGGGATCGGGCTCCGCGCTCAGCGGGGACTCTGCTGGTCCCTCCCCCTGCCCCTAACCCTACTCGCACTCCCCTTATCTCTGAAAAAAAAAAAAAAGAAAAAGCCAAACAGCCTCTATCCTGTTTGTCATCACTTCCCTGGGAAAGATCACATTTGTTTTCAACACCTTCCAGGGAACCGCTGTGTGAAGGGGGACTCCCTCAGCTTGAAGGGGGAGACGGTCAACGACTGCCATGCAGAGATCATCTCACGGAGAGGCTTCATCAGGTGGGGGAGCGCGGGGGCCCCGTGAGCCTGTCGCACGCCTGACGCCTCCGGGACTCGGGCCGCAGAGCCTCCTGTCCGCAGCCGGCCCTCTTCCCTCCAACTTTCTCAAAAACGCACCAGAATCTCTCGGGCCTCAGGGTTGTAGGGGCGCAGAACCCATCCGTGTGTATCTGAGGACCGAGGAAGCCCCCTGCTGGCCCCTGCTCTGCCCTCCAGCTCACTGGTCTTTATCAGGTCAAGGCGCAGAAACAAAAGTGACCTGAGAGGCTGGCTTGCTTCCCAAGGTGTCGAGGCCTCTGGTGGAGGGTCCCCCACCTCTTCTGCATGAGAAACCGCAGAAGCCTGCACGTCTAGGGCTTTTCCCTACTTGGGGCCGGGTCACAGAAGGCGCTGTGGCTCTAGCCAGAGTTCCCCTTGTAGGTTCCTCTACAGCGAGCTAATGAAATACAACCCCCAGACCGCGAAGGAGAGCATATTTGAGCCTGCGAAGGGAGGAGAAAAGCTCCAAATCAAGAAGACCGTGTCATTCCATCTGTACATCAGGTCTGTCTGGTGTCTGCTGCCACATGAGCGGGCCTGCCAGGCCCCAGGGTTGGGTACCCGAAGGCCGTCCTGGCCCATCAGTCAGAGCCGTTCCGTGGGCCACACTCAGCTCAGCAGCCTGCGGGAGGCTGTGGGGAAAGCCCCTTGCCTCCACCACATCTGGCTGTTCTCGAGCCCCGGGGAACTGGGGGGGCCCCCTGCACAGGTGAGCTTCCACGGTCGCCCTGTTCTGCAGCACGGCCCCGTGTGGGGATGGCGCCCTCTTTGACAAGTCCTGCAGTGACCGTGCCGTGGAGAGCTCAGATTCCCGCCACTACCCCGTCTTTGAGAATCCCAAACAAGGCAAGCTGCGCACCAAGGTGGAGAATGGTGAGTGACACATGCCCTCCATCTTGCCCATGGGAAGGCTCTGCAGAGCCCCGGGCCCATCAGGTTGCTGCTGTTCGCTGCTGGGAGGGGGTGTAGGAAGGCCAAGATCCCACTTGGCACCGGGTAGTCGGGGGGACCTGCGAGTCAGCCAGGAGGCAGAGGTACCTGCCTAGAGCTCAGGGCAGAGAGCGTGGCTAGAGACAGAAGTGTGGGAGTCAGTTTCCCATCATTGATCTTTGCGGCCAGGGGGTGGGTGGGACCACTTGGGGTTGGGGGGAGCAGAAGGGATGCGGGACCAAGTCGCAAGGAGTGACAGAGGTGGGCACCAAGTGTGCGGCTCCCTCCCATCCGCCGGCTCCTCCTCGTCCAGGGCCCTTTGTGGGGGGGCTCACCTCACACCCACCCCCCTGCCCTCAGGCCAGGTCACCTCGCTGGTCAAAACCCACATCGCTCCGGGGCACGTCCCCAAGAGAACAGAGACTAGTGCACGCTTGCTCGTAACAGCAAAGAAGTGGGGACCGCCCCAGGGTCTGCCCACTGGTGAATGAACCAAACGGGGTCTGTCCACACGGTGCAGTCACACTCAGCCTTAAAAGGGGTATGGCTCTGGCACCTGTTACAACACAGATGAGCCTCAAAAAGCAGCCAGTTGCTAAAGGTCCCACGTTCCGTGTCTCCATTTATATGAAACGTAGGGAATATAGAGCAGGCAGCCCTGTAGAGACAAAAAGTGGATTCGTGGTTGCCTGGGGTCCAGGCTGGGAAGGTTGGCGGATGTAGGGACGCTTCTTCTGAGGGTGATGAAAGGTTCTAAACTTGACTGTGGGGAGGGTTGAACATCCTGTGAATATACTAAAAACCATCAAACTGCACGCTTTAGATGGGTGAATTATATCTCAATAAAGCTGTTACGGGAAACAGCGGAACAGGCTCTGTAGCGGTTTCCCACCGCACTTCACACACGCACATGGCTCAGGCCCACTGGCTCTTTGTCCGCAACCTGGACAACCCAGCCTCTCGCTGCCCCAGGGCCCTGGTTTGTGCTGTTCTCCGTGCCTGAAACTCTTACTCAGCTGTTGCTTCTCCTTGGTGTCTTTGCTACCCTGGCAGTTCCGTCCCTGGAGGCCCCCCGCCATCTGCCGCCATCGGTCCCTCGGGCTTTGAGCCCTGTTGCCGTTCGGAGCTCTTGTGTCCATATTGCTTTGCTTGCTTACTGGCGGTCTGTCCCTTGCTGCCCCCTCACGCCCACGAACGTTCCAGGAGCACAAGGATCTTCTGGTTTGCTTGCCATTGTTCCAGCACCGAGTAGAGTGCCCACACATAGTAGGTGCTGTGGAATCTGTGAAGAATAACTGTGCGCAGCCTTGGCCCAATGTGAGGAGTGTAAAGGCCACGCCGGGGAGTGGCCTGGCCCAGGGGCCCCCGTGGCTCTGACCCAAGTCCCTCCACAGGGGAAGGCACAATCCCAGTGGAGTCCAGTGACATTGTGCCCACGTGGGACGGCATTCGGCTCGGGGAGAGACTCCGCACCATGTCCTGCAGTGACAAGATCCTGCGCTGGAATGTGCTCGGCTTGCAGGGCGCGCTGTTGACGCACTTCCTGCAGCCTGTGTACCTCAAGTCTGTGACGCTGGGTAAGGGTGCCCGCATCCGCACAGGCCTCACTGCCCACCCTGCTGGGGTGGGAGGCATGTCTTCTCACCACAGGTCCCAGAAAGACTGTGGCTTCCAGTGGTGGGGTCTGGGCTTCCTGGTCAGACGGTACCCCTCCCCCACCCCCAAGCCCGAAATGTCGTGCCTGTGGCTCTGGGGCTGTGTGCCCTGCACACCCACCGTCCGCGAGGCCTGCTGCCTCTGTCCCACCACCCCCCTCGCACCTCCACGTCCCCCACCCCCCCGGCGCCTCCACCTCGCGGCAGCACCAAGGACAAACAGGTGCGCACCTCCGTTTCCTGCACAGGTTACCTTTTCAGCCAAGGGCATCTGACTCGCGCCATCTGCTGCCGTGTGACAAGAGATGGGAGTGCCTTCGAGGACGGACTGCGGCCCCCCTTCATTGTCAACCACCCCAAGGTGCTGTGGCCCCTCCACCTTTCCGTTGACGGTCTTTCGGTCGCTGGCCATGGGCAGGGGAGGGGCCTCCACGGGTGTCCCGGGAGCTGGGCCTTTTGTCTTCGTGGACGCCAAGGGCCTTCTTAGTCTGGGCCCCATTTGAATCGAGCTGGGGTTAGTATGACCAGAGTCCTCGCCCCACAGAATTCTAGCTGCGGGCAAAGATCACGAGCCATGCCCTCTCCCCTGGGGGCCCCAGGGCCTTCTGGAAGGTCTCCATCTTTCCCCTGTGGCTCCCGGGACCCCTAGGTGGGCCGAGTCAGCGTGTACGACTCCAAGAGGCAGTCGGGGAAGACGAAGGAGACAAGCGTCAACTGGTGCCTGGCAGACGGCTACGACCTGGAAATCCTGGACGGGACCAGGGGCGCTGTGGACGGGTGAGGCGCCGGCCCGCCTGCAAGCCCCCACGCCCCCCGCCCGGGCGCCCCGGGACCCCCACCGCACCCCCAGCCCTGCCGAGGAGCCGCTCCTCTGCGACCCCCACCGCACCCCGTGCACCCCTGCCCAGGTTCCCCGCCTTCTCTGTTCCTGGGGAGTAACAAGCACCTTTGTTCCTCCAGGCCGCGGAACGAATTGTCCCGGGTCTCCAAAAAGAACATTTTTCTCCTGTTTAAGAAGCTCTGCTCCTTCCGGTACCGCAGGGATCTGCTTCGACTCTCATACGGCGAGGCGAAGAAAGCTGCCCGAGAGTACGAGATAGCCAAGAACTACTTCAAGAAAGGCCTGAGGGACATGGGTTACGGGGACTGGATCAGCAAGCCTCAGGAGGAGAAGAACTTCTACCTCTGCCCTGTGTGAGGGGCCAGGGCCTGGGGGGCGACAAGGGGCCGCGGCTCTCCTCGTCACGTCAGTCTGCAGGTGTTCCTTTCCTTTTTCTTTTTCTTTGTTTGGTGGAAGCACGTTGGTGACACTGGGAATGGTGGGTCGTGTGCCCTGCGTCTGCCAGGGGCCAGGCCCGCCCACCCGCCCCTGCCCTCTCCACCAGGAGGGAGGCACGTCGGCCCCTCCTGCCCACCGTGCAAGGCCCTCCCGCTCAGCCCCACTTTGGTTTCCACGTCCTCGCCTCGCGTTTGCCACACCAGCCTCTCGCTGTCTGGGTCAGGCCGATCTGCGCCGAGTCCTGTCAGGGCTGGAGGTTTCGTTGGCAGACTCTGCAGGCCCCTCCGTCTTCCTCTGCCCTTTTGCAATTCCCTCCTTATGATTGTTAAGTTTCTCCTTTTCCTCCAAGAAGGTAAAAGGTGACCTTCAAGAATTCGGTGAAACAGGTATGAAGACAGGAGTTTACAAGCGCCGTCAGTTCATCACCGGGCCGGGTGCCATTGGCATCCGCAGGTGGCGCTCGGTGACCTTCCGGGTCTTGCACTTTAGCCAGCGGGGGGGGGGTGGGGTGCAGCTGGGCGGCAGGGAGGGCTGGCTGAGGGCTGGCCGAGGGCTGGCCGAGGGCTCGCACCCACAGGAGCAAAACCCTGGGGGGTGACACCGACCGCCCCCACGTGCAGACCGGCCTCGCGGTACCGCGCACCTGCTGTCCTCCAGAAGCGTTCCTGGGGATTTGTCCTGCCGGCGGGGCGCAGAGGGGCCGCAGACCCCAACCCCCGGGTGGGAGAGGTCCTGCACCACAAGTCCTCTGTTCAGGTAAAATCAGGACTGAGAGGAAGAGGGCAGAACAATCATGTCGGGTCGGATCACGGCACCGCGCGGTATCTTTCTCATGACCGTGACCAGGGAAAGCTGACCAAGGCATGGGGACCTTAGGAGTTTTTAAAAATGTCGTAATGTTGATTCTTAACTGCTACGGAGAACCTATACTTGCACAGATTTTAAAATCAGACCTAATTTTTCATTTATCCAAGTGCTTTTGTCTGCCGGGGAGTTTCAGAAGGGCAGGCCCCAGGCCTGTCAGGGAGTCTTTGCAGGCTTGATGCCCGACAGTAGTTGAAACCGAGTTGAGGTGGGTCCCCTGTCCACACCTCAGGCTAGCCTCTCTGGAGCCCGGCTCTACGGCCGCACCAGCCAGACCTGAGCCCGCCTCCAGGTGACGCCTCTGTCTCTGCCCGCCGGCGCTCCAGGCCAGGCCCACAGACGATTGTCCCCCTTCCCTCGCGCCCCCCTCCCTACTGCCGAGGCAGCCCTGTCTGGACCCCTCTTCTGCAGTAGGTACACTCACACTCACACTTTGGTTCTGGTGGCTACTATTCCTCTGTGCTATTGACCAAAATTAAAAAAAACAACACCCAAGTTTTTTTGAAGTATACTAAAGATGTCTTTGTGGAATAGCCAGTTGTCCCACGGAGCCGGTCGGGACACAGTGCCTGCCTTCTGGGGGGGAGGGGCCCGGCCCCACTGAGCGCACCTGCCAGAGGCGTGTGGGGCCGGCCTCCCAGGAGGCAGCTGGAGGGTCTCGCCTGCTGACCCCGAGGAACGTTCAGACCCTCTGCTCCATCTTGGGCGTTAGAATCTCCAGCAGAGCTGTGACTGGGAGCCCAGGGGCCCTCCACACAGCAGATCCCCGCTCGCCCCAAGGTCAGATGAGACACACCGGCTCCTGCTGTAGGAAGGGGGCTCGGCTGCGCCCCCCAGGAATGGAGGGGCAGAGCTCCCTCCCACAGTGCTCTACTTTCTTGTCCAATCTTTGTTTTTAGTAACCAGGATGCCCTTCTTCCTTTTTTAAAATGATCTTTGTAGTTGATTTGTCTGAACTGTGGCCATTGTGCATCCTCTGAATAATCACTTGTGAAAATTGTCGCTGCTCGAAGCTATTTCCTTTACTCACGTTGAGCGACTGTTGGTTTGGGTCCTGGTGCGACCCCAAGAGGGGACGGGAAGAACCCAAACACAGACTTGGCGCCACCGCGGCTGCACTCCAGTCTACGATTCCGCTTTGATGTGTCCCTCGATAACCGTGACTAACAATATACATTCCTCATAAATAAAGAGAATCTGAATTGTTAGAAAGTCTCCAGTCTTGGCTTCGCGGGGGAGGGAGGGCAGAGGGGGCCGCGGGCCTGCGGTTTCTCACCTGCCGCGGGCTGCACACCCCCAGCACCCCAGCAGAGCCCAGGGCTCCGCGCCTCGTCCTGGCACCCTGTCCTCGGAGACCGCGTCCCAACGCGCAGGCGTCACTTGCGCAGCCCCCCGCCCCCCGCCCCGGCAGCGCCCGCGGCCGCAGGTGCTCTGCCTGCTGGGAAGTGCGTGTGCGCCCCCGGCTCTCGGCTCTCCTTCGCTCTGCGCTCTCCGCTCTCGGCGGGCCCGGGGCCGGCTGGGCCGCAGTCTCGGGGAGGCACTGCAGTATTTCTCCGCGTGACTTTCACAGAGAATGCGCCCCTTCCCGTGTTGCGATTCAGGCCAGAGTCTCTACCACATCCGTCCCCGGCTTAAGGACACGGAGTCAAAGCGAAGCCTCCTTCCCCGTCCGCGACCGATGGGACAGCTGAGGCCAGGAGGGCCAGTGACGAGTCTGGGGGCACATTAAGGACCACAGCCGTGTGGGGGTGTCATTCGTGGTCCGCCGAGATCCAGGGCTTCTGAAGATGGGGAAGGAGATGTCGCCCCTGTGGGGACGGATGGGGTGGGGGGTGGCGGGCGGGGGCGGGGGGGGGGGGGGGGGGGGGGGGGGGGGGGCCGGCGGCACCGCTGCCGGAGAAACGTATCCAAGTCTTAAGGACGCAGTTTCCTTCCTTCACATCGAATGAGCGCCAGACCCATGTGCGGAGGGAACGAGCCCATCCGCACCACCCGCTCCGAGGGGCTGGGACGCAGGGCTGCCCGCGGGACCACAGCGTGTTGTCAGCTCCTTACACCTGTTCCCGTTCGGGGGCCACAACTGAGCGCCTTCCAGGTTTGGGCCCAAAGCAAACCAGAGTTCTGGGGACAGGTGTGGCCTTCACACGGACCACAGCCTTGGTCTCCCCGTGCGCACGAGCTGTGCAGAGACTCCGGCCGACCCTGCCTCCAGGGCCCTTCTCGACGAGTGCCCCCCAGGAGCTATCCATTTCTTTTCCATCTGACGAGTGCCCTTGTCCGGCATCGATTACAGAAATTAAAGTTACCGCTCACCTTCAGAGGCTTGTACTGTCTTTCATGGCTCACAGGTCCAATTTCTCCAGCATCACCCCCGGTTTCCCAAATTTGCCAACCCTGGCCCCCAAATAGAGCAGAGAGACAAGACATGTTTGGAAACAACTTTCTTTACAAGAACCTTGAGTTCCTAAGGAGTCTGGCCTGGAGTGGGCTAGACCAGTGCAAATATTCCAGAAGCACAGACAAGGGAGGCCAAGGCCAACGGGGCGGGGGGGGGGGGGCTCTGGGGGGGGGTGGGTGAGTTGTCTTAGCTACAACTCCTAGACCTACAGTCCCTCAGGAACCGTGTGACACTCACGCTGGGCCCTCGGGCCTGTTGGGACAACACGGAAACATGCTAATTCTCGCTCCGGCCTGGGTGGCTGACAGCCGGCAGCTGTTGGGCTGAGGGACGCCGTGGCCGTGGCCCAGGCACCTGGAAGCAGAGGCTGAGAGCTGGAGCCGAGTGCACTCTGGGCCAGGGAGCGAATCAGATGCCCCTTGCTTTCCCTCCGCCCGCCTCGAGGCCCAGCCGTGCGGACGGCTCAGCTGAGCGAGTCGAGCGAGTGGAGGGGCCCCTTCCCTGCAGAACAGAGGCCTGGGGCTGGAGGAGTAGGAGTCGAGCCCCCAGGTCCTGCCCAGAGCACTCCCTGCCTCTCGCCCTTCCTGCACGCACAGCCTTCCTCTGCAGAGAAGGCCAGCTGGGAGGCTGCCTTGTCTTGTTTGCTTTCAAGTTTTCGATGACTCAGTCCAGCTGTTGCAGTATCAGACGCCTTGCCACCAAGAAACTGCTTTCCTCCTGTGGCAGCGCCAACCGTCAAAAGCGGTGTGGGCAGGCCTGCTCATCGGGCAGAGTGCTTTGCAGATGGAGACAATCCCGCCTGCTTCCTCAGCAGCCCCTCCCAAGCCCACCTTGCTCAGGCTTCGGTCCAGTGTGTGCACTGTCCTCTCCAGATTAGGGGCACTGAATGGGGCACCTGATACTGTCCAGAGACGGCCCCCCATGGAAGGGACAGGGAGCTCCCCTGGCAACACCAAGGTAGGAGAAGGGACGATGCTTGTCCCCAGTCAGGCAGCAATCTCCAGGCCTCAGCCCTCTAGCATTTTTGGTGACTTACTTGGACAACAGCCCCTTGGAAGAAGTACTCCAAGCAAGGACAGGCCCAGCCACGTGGCCCAGGCCACAGTGAGGAGCCCGGGAGAGCCAGAAGCGAGGGCCTCGGGCCGGCACCCCACCCTGCAGAGGGAGGGCTCCTTTCCGGTTGCTCTTCAGGCTCCTGGAGGCTTCCCCAGGGCTAGGAATCCACAGCAGGTCCAGGCATAATACAGGCAACTCTTAATTTGTTGCTCTAGGAGAGGGGATCTCCGCAGGGCCAAGACACCCACTCAGAAGGGAGGTCACGAGCCCGCTCCGGCAGGCCGGGAAACACGCCGAGGCACCTCTTGCCCAGTGGCCACCTGGGTGTCCACAGCCAGGACAGGGCGAGGTCCGCCCAGAGGCCCTGAGCTCACACCTGCGTCGGGAGGAGCTCAGCCCAGGAACGGAACGATGCTTTGCTGCGGGCACTCCAGACAGCAACAGCCATCAGACCCACCGAGTGGCCCCCAGAAAGTTCCCCTCAACTGCACTCCTCCAGTCCCCGGCTCCCCAGACTCCCACCCTGCTTCAGGGGACTCGGTTTGCTCAAGGAAGAGAGAGGGAGAGGAGGGGTGTGCGAGGAAGGCTGTCAGGACAGTCAGGTGAGCCCACCGCCCCCAGCTCTGCCCACCTCCTAGCCTGCACACCCATCAAATCTCCGCCAAGTACAGACTGGGCTTCTTCCTCCTCGCTACCGTCCCCATTCGAGAGATGGGGTCACTGAGGCCCAGAAAGGCAAAGGGACTTGCTCCCTGTGGCTGAGCGAGCAGGTGTGAGCCAGGACTGGAATCCAAACTGAGACCGTCTGGTCCCGTGGCCCACGCAGTGCGTCTCCCCCGACCTGTGAGCACTGCCCCCACCTCTGCTGCACCTGCAGAAGCAGGGGTCCAGCTGTGCTCCCGAGGACGGCATGGTCTGCGTCGGCCGGCCCTTCGGCTGTGCTGGGCCACCTGTTGGCACTGAAGACAGGCCAGGACCACAAATCAGAGCCAGTCACATGGCAGGGGTGGGGGCAGGAGGTCCATCAGAGGTCTGTTTCCTAGGCTAAGAGGCCAGGTGGCCCCCAGCTGGTCCCTGGGAGCAGGGTCAGGATACAGCCTCCACAAGCCCACAGGACGGAGGCAACGGCCGTGCTTTCTGAGGAGCCGGTGACGGCAACGAGGTTCTGCCCCCGCCCCGCTCAGGTCTGCTTGTGGGGTGCGGCTGGGCCAGTGCTGACTCTTTCCTGCCCAGCCCCCTCTGCTGCGGGCAGAAAGGCTGGGTCTGCTCAGAGCTAACAGCTTCACTTTCCTGACTCCAAACACCGGTCAGTTCAAGTGGGGAGAGACCACCGGAGGGCTTGCATTTTGTGCACAGTTGGAGGACGTGGCTCCAAGCAGGTCACCGGAAGGCTCCGAACTCAGGGGTTCGAAGCCCAGCCTGGCCTGCCTCACCCGGCCTGAGCAAGAAGGAAAGTGGGGGGAAGTCCAGGGGTGCAGGGACCTGGGGCTGAGCTCTGGAGCCCCTAGAAGCAAGGGGCTGCGGGGCTGGGCTGGAGGGCCCCCAGGGGTCTGACCACAGCGCCAGGTAAGCCCCTGGGCAGACCTGCCAGCCCAGAGGCCGTGTACTTAGGCAGGGGCCCTGGGACTCTGTCCCGACCTGGCCCCTTCCCCATCACACTTCCCTCAGAGGGGAAGGCCCAACCTCCATGCCCGACCAGCAGCACTCCCGCCCGGCTGCCGTAAGACAAGACAGCAGTGGGTCCAGCCTCCAGCCTCCAGCCTCCATGGTGTGCTGTCTGTCTGCCGCCAGCGGGGCTGGGAGGGGCTGGGGGTGGGGGACGGAGAGGCTGGGTCTGCGGCAGCGCCCCCCCAACCTGTAGCTCACTTGACCGCCCCCCCACCCCCCCGTAGCTCACTTGACCCCCCCACCTGTAGCTCACTCGCCCCTCCTCCGCCCAAAATGACTGTGTACAGAGGGCAAGGGGTGGAGCGGCACAGAGCGGGAGGGCCTCACTTGGAGCTGGGAGCTGAGTGGTCTGTGTGCAGGAAGGGAGCAGTGGAGTAGTTCTGGAAGAGAGGCTGCAGGAACATGCCAATGGTGCCAAAAACACAAACGAAGACAAAGATCCAAAGGAACAGGCGGTCGATCACCATGGCAACGTACTTCCAGTCCTCACTCACCTGGACAGAGGAGACAAAGGAGGCCGGGGTATCAGTCACATGATGCAGGACAGGAGTGAAATGGGAATAGGCAGGTCTCACCACACACACACACACACACACACACACACACACACACGTATGCACCCACCCATGCACATACGCGTGTACACATGCACCCCACTCCTCTCCCTCCATGACCCCACAGCGACTTTTCCAAAGCGTGGCTCCTAACTTGCCTGCTTAAAAGCCTCCAGCGGCCCCACTGCCTTCAGGGCCCATCCAAACTTGAAGACCCACCCACGACAAATACGCACCCACCTACTTACCATCCCCTTCCACCCTCTGACCCAGACTTACCAAAGCCCCATGTGTGCTCTCAAGTCTCTGTGCCTTTGAGTTTCCTTTCTGTCTAGAATTCTGGTCTTCCCTTTCTCTGCCTGGTGAACTCCTACACATCCTCTAAAGCCCAAATCAAATGTTACCTCTTCTCTGAAGTGATCTTTTCTGATACTCCTGATCAGCATGAACCACCGTCCTCTCTGGACTCCCTCAGCAGTGGACACATCTCGATCACAGTGTTTTTACTGCACTGTATTGCCATTTCAATTTGCATGTCTGCCATCCTACCCTGCCCCCGGCCAGCTACAAGTTCCTAAATGACAGGGACCCTGGCTGATTCACTTTGCAGTCCCAGCTTGTGCAACAGAGTGCCGGTAAATGGGTGTCCGGTTATCAAATGAATGGCTGGCTCCACAGGCCCCCATCCATCTGTGACTGCCTGGGGCACCCCATCCAACAGCAGCACCTCCAGCACACAGGCCCCAGAGGGTGAGCACTGGTCCCCAGATGCGACCAATCCATCGGAAAGAGGATACCGTCTGGGTCTGACAGCTGTCCCGGGGTCGGCCCCCCTTGAGCCTGAGTCAGGGCCTTTGCACACATTCATCTGGGGGCCCGGGAAGGAGACCGCTGTGCACCTTAATTCGGTCGGCTGCTGAGTAACAGCTTGCTCGTGTCTGCCGTGGGCCTGGCATCGTGCCAGGCATGGAGGTGTGACCAAGAGCAAGACAAATGCCGGCTGTGGCTTATTGTCCACAGAGGGAAAGGGACACAAATAAGCAAGAATAAAAAAATTATACACTGATGGGTGCTGATATGGAAACAAAGAACGGAGAGAGAGATACGGAGGGGAAGACACACTGTAGGGTGGTCTGGGATGGCCTCTTTGAGGAAGGGACACTGAAGGTCACGTTGCAACATGAGAAGGAGCCAGCTATGGGCGCCTGGGTGGCTCAGTCCTTAAGCGTCCGCCTTTGGCTCAGGTCAGGGTCCCAGGGTCCCGGGATCAAGTCCCGCATTGGGCTCCCTGCTCGGCGGGAAGCCTGCTTCTCCCTCTGACCCTCTCCCCTGCGTGTGTCCCTGCTCTCGCTGTCTCTCTCTCTCTCTGTCAAATAAATAAATAAAATCTTAAAAAAAAAAAAGAAGGAGCCAGCTATGGCCGGAACAAATTGAAGAAAGAAACAATCAGACAAACCCAAACTGAGGGCCAGCCCACACCCGTGAACATGTTGACGCTATGAAACACAGAGCTGAGAGACTGTTCCAGATCAAAGAAAAAGAAAAAAGTAGGACAACCGAGTGCAATCTGAGACCCCGCGTCAGGGTGGGGAGAGCTGCAAAGGGCATTGCTGAGAAAGCTGGAAAACCTTTCTTTAAAAAAAGATTTATTTATTTGTTTGAGAGAGAGCAAGCAGGTGCACGGGGCAGCAGTGGGGGGCAGAGGGAGAGAGAGAATCTCAATTCGGCTCCAAGCTGATGCAGAGCCAGACGCAGGGCTCCATCTCATGACCTTGAGATCATGACCTTAGCCAAAACCAGGAGTCGAATGCTTAACTGACTGCACCCCCCAAAAGTTTTCCAAAAGTTGGAAAACTTTTTTTTTAAGATTTTATTTACTCATTTGAGAGAGAAAGAGAGAGCATGAGCAGGGGGGAGAGGCAGAGGGAGAGGGAGAAGCAGGCTCCCCACAGAGGCAGGAGACCAACATGGGGCTCCATCCCAGGACCAGGAGACGCTTATCCCTGGAAAACTTTTCTAATATGGATTTTATATCAGTTAAATATATGATATGGATGTTGAATTTCCTGAATTTGATCACTGATCCTGGGTATGCAAGACAACATCTCTATTATCAGGACAAGACACACTGAATTATTCACGATAAAGGGTCACAATGTCTGCAACCTACTCTCAAACAGGAGAGCAAACATTAATAGTAATAATAATACTTTTTAAAAAAAATTTATTTGAGGGTGCCAGGGTGGCTCCGTTAGTTAAGCGACTGCCTCCGGCTCAGGTCGTGATCCTGGAGTCCCGGGATCGAGTCCCGCATCGGGCTCCCTGCTCGGCGGGGAGTCTGCTTCTCCCTCTGACCCTCTTCCCTCTCGTGCTCTCTCTCTCAAATAAAAAAAAATCTTTATTAAAAAAATACTAGCACCTACTTCTAAATAATTAATTAATTAATTAAAAAAATAATAAAAAATTTATTTGAGAGAGAGTGTGGGGGGGGTAGGGGGAAGTCGGGGAGGGAAAGAATCCCAAGCAGACTCCCCACTGAGGGCAGAGCCGGGGGCGGGGCTCAATCCCACAACCTTGAGATCATGACCTGAGCGGAAATCAAGAGTCGGATGCTTAAGGGACTGAGCCACCCAGGAGCCCCAGTAATACTTTTTTAAAGGAAAAAAAAGAAGGGCATTCCAGGCAGAGAGACCAATGGGTGCAGACATCCTGAGATAAGACAGAGCTTTGCTTGCTTAGACTAGTGGGCCAGTGACCTGAGCCAGAGAGGAGAACGCACAAGGTGAGGAGACGGCGCACATTTGGAGGAAGGAGAACAGAGCTGACTCGGGGAGACTTCCAGGAGATCCTGCCCCAGTCCGGGAAGAGCTGCGGGAGGCCTACCGTCCCGGGAGTAGCCTGGAGAGGTGAGGAGGAAGGGGACAGCTGGGAGGACTTTGGAGACCGCGCTCACAGGGCAGGACTTCCGCTGACTTGGATGGGGGGGAGGTGAGAGAGAGAAGAGTCAAGAATCACTCCAGGTTTTTGGTCTGAACCTCTGGGTGCACAGTGATGCCGTTTACTGTAAGATGGGGAGACTGCAGGAGAAGCAAGCCGGTGGTGGGGTTTAGATGGAGCACTGGGGCTTGGACGTGTGGTCTGAGATGCCAGTGCGGCGTCCAAGTAGGCCACTGCACCGAGCACCGAGCGGACTGCGGCAGGGGCGGCGGGGGCGCGACGCGCGGCTGAGCCCCAGCGCTGCCCGGCCACGTCTCCCTGGGCCTGTTCCCCCCTCCGCCCATCAGGCCCGTACCCTGCTCCCTGGCCAAGCCCCAGCTCCAGCCCGCCGTCCTGCCCTCCTGGGGAATGGAAACGCCAGGCTCTCAAGCCCCCACCCCCGCCCCCAGCGGTAGCGCTGGAGCCGCCCTTCCTCACCCCCAAACCGGAACGGCTGCATCCTAACGGAAACCCGGCCAGTCACCATGGCAACCACTGGCGAGCCGCAGCCTGGAACCGGCCGGTGTCCGAAGGCTGCCCGCTGGCCGCCACCGGCCCATGGCACTCTGCCCCTGCGCGGGCTCGGGGCTTCCCGGGGTCCCCCTCCGCGGCGGGCGCCTGGGTGCAAAAAGCCGGGTGTGCGCGCGGCGGGGGCGCTGCTCTGGGAAGCCCCTGCCTCCACCTGCCCCTCCTCCAAAACGATTTCACCAGGCCCTGCCAAAGGCGCTGAAAAGGGGTGTGACTTGGGCCTCTGCCCCCACCCATCTTCCACCGCCCCCATTCCGCGCCCCCGTGGGGCGCACGGGAGACCCGGAGCCCTTCGTGCCGAGAGCTGCGATCACCAGTCGCCAGCTCGGACTCGGGGGGGGGGCCAGCGGGGGTTGGGCGTCGGGGTCGCGGCCACCGGCTGGCCGCAAAGCCACCAAGGCCTCCCCAGGCGTCCCCGCCGCCCGTACCGACTCCAGCCTCCACGGCGCCGCCTCCCGGAAGCCCACCGGGGAGAGCCCGAGGAGGCCACAGCGGCCGCGCCACTCACGCTCTGGTCGTCGTCCTCGCTGCGCACGTGGTCCGCGATGAAGCGCACGCCGTCCACCGCCGCGCGGAGGCCGCAGCCACCCGCCCCCGCCCCGCCTCGCGCGGGCCGGGCGCGCGGCTCCCCGGGGGCTTCCCGGAAGAGGAGGGCACCCGCCTCCCGCTCGTGCTGCCGCCGCCGCAGGCGCAGGCCCTGGCGAGCGCAGCGGGGCCGCGGCTGTTGCATGAAGAGCAGCGTGGGCAGCCACTCCAGGAAGACGACCTTGACCCAGGGCGCCATGGTGTGCGTGCTGGGCGAGCGGTGGTGCACGTTGAGCACGCACACGCTGGTGACGATGGAGAAGGTGACGAGCACCATGGTGAACATGAGGTACTTGCCGACGAGCGGCACGTCCAGGGAGGTGGGCGGCACGATCTTGGAGATGAGCAGCAGGAAGACGGTGAGCGCCAGCAGCACGGAGATGCACAGTGTCATCTTCTCGCCGCAGTCCGACGGCAGGTAGAACACAAGGATGGCCAGCGAGGTGATGAGCACGCAGGGGATGATGAGGTTGATGGTGTAGAAGAGCGGCTTGCGGCGGATGATGAAGTCGTACGTGATGTCCACGTACGTGGAGTCGTCCGGGTTCTCGTTGCGCCGGCCGGGCAGCGCCACGATGTCCCACTCGCCGCTGGGGGTGAAGTCGTCCAGGCTGGCCACGTCGCTCTTGAGCACCAGGTCGATCTCCGTGCGGTCGTAGGTCCACGAGCGGAACTTCATGGTGCAGTTCTGCTGGTCGAACGGGAAGTGCTTCACCTCGATCTTGCACGCGCTCTTGTAGATGGCGGGCGGCAGCCAGAAGATGCTGCCATCGTAGGAGACCACGGCGTTGGAGTAGAAGGACACCTCGTACATGCCGTCCGCACTGCCGAGTGGAGGAGCGCGGTCAGCCCCGGCTCACGCGTTCCTGCACCCCACCCATCAACCCGGCCCTGAGCGGGAGGAAGGGATAGCCAGGCCGGAGGGTAACCGCCCAGGAGTCGACAGAGGTGGGGCAGGAATTGAGCAAGAAGGGGATCTGGGTGAGTTGGTGGTCAGGAGGCCTGTGAGGCCTTTTGGAAGCAGAAGAGGGTGGATGACGGGGGCTGTCTGCTACTTGTCATGCACTGTGCGAGCTGGTTGCTCCCCATGCAGAGGAGAGGTTGGGGGAGCCTGGGAGGCCAGAGTAAGGAGCCCCAGGCAATGAAGGGGAAAGGGGCAGGTGGGAGCAGGAGATGCACCCACTAGTGATTTAGGATCTTGGAGGTAAGTGGGATTGTTGCAGGAAAGGGGACGGAACCCAGAGGAGACACTGGGGCCTCCAAGTTCTTTGACCCTGAACGATCCTCCAGGAAAGGCTGTTCTTGAATCCATATAGGCACTGGGGCTGTCAACCCTTGTCTCTCTCCCACTGAGGCTCCCAACAATGGGACTCAGATTTGGTGGAGAGGGGACTGGGCATGGCCCAAATCACCTTGGAATCGTCTGGATTTTCCACATTACACCTCACTCGTCTGGGTCTGTCTGCTGCATACTGATTGTGTCTGTGCCAACAAGAAGTCCTTTCTGTCCCGCTGTGCGAGCTAACTTACTTTCCCTAAGACCCTTTCCCTCCCAGAGCACTCCTGTAGTCTCCTCCAACCTTCCCGTTGCTCCAAGGCCACCTACTTGTTGTATAGAACCACATCTGGGAGCCAGATGTGTTTGGAAGGGAGCCGAACTTTCTTCATGTTGTCAAACTCCTCAGGCTTCCAGGTGAGCCGATAGTCCTCCCATTCCTGGGAGAGGGAGAGAGGGAGAGAGGGAACCTTACCAACCCATGCCCTTGCTGAGACTCAAGGTCAAGGACAGGATGGGGGTGGGGGAGGAGGGGGGAGGCAATCTGGCTTGAGAGGGCTTGGAAAAGCCATCCCCTCCCCACAGTGACTTCCCTGCCCAGCAAATGTGGCTCATAAGATAGTTTCTCATTTAATTTGCACATCTAAGCTAAGCTATTAGAATCTACATTTTACAAATAAGAAAATGAATCTTGTAGAGTTTAACATGTTCAAAGTCACAGAGCTGGTGAGTGGAAGCACCAAGTCTCAGATCCAGTTATTTAGCACTCCAAAGTCTATACCTTTCTGCCTTTTTTGAGGAGATTAAAAGAGGGGGAAAGCACATGCAAAACAAACAAACAAACAAACAAACAAAACTAAGGAGGGAAAAGCAGACCAGGGATGTGCACTGGGCAGGAAGAGCACTAACCTGGGTCAGCCAAACATTGGTGGTCATGATCTGCTCCCGCTCGTGCTGCAGGGAAGAAAAGAAGCTGCTGAGAAGGCCCCTCAGCCTGCAGGCTCTCTACAGCCATCTGTGATCCTTCCCATACTCCCCAAGCCTGGGGAGCTCCGGGGGAGTAATTCTGGCTGTTTGACTTGAGTAGCTGGGCAGAGAGCGTGGGCCCCCACTCACCACACTAATGAGCTGGGCCAGGGACACCATGAGCTGTACCGTCACCTGCTCCGAGCCGTTGGTGGCTGGGCGGATGAGCTTGTTGTACCGGGAGGGATCCAGGAGATGCTCTACCAGCCGCTCCTCCGTGTCAGTGCCCGACACTCCTGGGTGGGCAGTAGGAAGAAAGGAAGTAGGCAAGGGGGGCCCACCTAGCATCCCACTCTCCCTAGGCAGTGGGGCAACCAGGCCGAAACGGGAGCTCCCACCTCTCCATCTCTAAGGATACAGCAAAATGCTTCAGTTATCCCACGGGGGCCCCTCACAGAGAAACGCTTCTCTGACATCACCGACCAGGGAGACCAGACAGCCTCACACAGATGTCTCCAGACTAAAAGCCCACTCTGCAGGGATTAGTGGAGACCTGCTCTTCTGCGAGGTCTCAGACTATAGTTTCAAAAGACTTGAGATTTCTTGTTTTCACAGCTTCTCCTAAAAGATCCCTGCAGTTCAAGGAGGGTTTTGGATGGTAGTGAAAGGGAACAGCTCTTTATTTCCCACCACACAACCTTTCTCCTCAGTCAGGGCCCATCTGTGTGTACAAGTAACATTATGCACCTCCACATGTGACTTGGACTGTGACCCCACCCCGCCCCCACCCTCAAAGGCACTGGGTTGGAGAGGAGAGCTGGGCTGCCTGCGCTGTGTGTCAGAACGTGTATTCAGTCCCCAGTTCCACACATATGGGAGCCCACCCCCCATAAGATGGCATGCAGGTGTGGGAAGCTCGTTTAGCTGTACAATCCCTTTGTACCCGCCCCTCCACAGACTCTCTCTCCTGCAGCCCTGCACAGCTGTACCCCCACCCCTCAGAGCTCCTTCCTGGCACTCAGCCTGGCAGAGCGCCTTCCCTTCCAAGTCTTCCGCCCCACCGTGTAAGAGAGTTGAGAAGTCACTTCTCTCCCCTTCCTGTCTTGCCCCTGTGGAGTGGCCAGAATCAGGAGCCCAATGTGGGGCACAGAAAATGATGGAGAGCTAAGGGAGGGTGCCCTTCCAGGTAGAGTTCTGGAGATGTTTCACGGGAAGTCAAATGGCATCTCAGCCGCAGAGTGTGCCCTCCTGCCACCCCAGAAGGCCTGGGGAGACTCCCTCCCCGTGCCCACGCCCTCCCCACCACCACTGCCCGGATCTCCCTCGCTTCCTTGCATCGCCTACTCCTTCGGGGATGTCCTCCTCCCAGCTCGGCCGCCCAGGCGTCCCCCTGCGGGCTCCTCCATCTCTGGGGATCCCCCTTGCAGCTTGGAGCCCAGTCCTTACCGGCGCGCAGCCCGAGGAGGCCGAAGCCCAGCAGCAGCGCCGCGGGGCCGGAGCGCAGGGCCATGCCGCGGGCGGGGCGCTGTCCGCGGTGCTGAAGGAGCGCCCGCGCCGCCGGAGGGGCCCTGCGCGCGGGCGGCCGCGGGCCGGCGGGGCTGCGGGGCTGCGGAGGGGAGCCGGCTTCTCGCTCGCCCCGGCCGGAGCAGGCGGACGCTTTCCCGGCTGCTTTTCCAGGGAACACAACTGGGACGGGGAGGGGGAGGAGTCTCCGCCCCGGAGGCGGAAGCGCCGGAGCCCAGGAAAAAAGGGGGTCCCAGGGTGGGACGTTCTGCTGCTCAGCTAGCTCGCCGGCCCGGGGAGTTCTGCAGCCCCGAAGTTGGGGCGGGACCTGGACTCTGCGAAGGGCGGGAAGAAGCAGCGCGAGCAAGACCAATAGGTCAGAACCCGCTTTGCACAGGGGCCAGAAGGAGGGGCGGGAGTCGGGAGGGGTTTCTGCAGTTCCCGCCCTCCTTGTTTGCTCTTACCAATCCAAACGATCCTGTTTCCTTGGAAGGCTCAAGATGCGGCTGAGAGAATGCATTTTAGGCCTTCCCAGAGATAGGGGGTTGTGGGTTTGCTATTTTTCAAAAGCAAACAGCTTTGGAGTCTGGAAACAGCACCCCCCACCCGTCCCCTTCTCTACCTCCATGAACTCCCTCAAAGGCCAACCTTCCTGCCCTCCCCCAGGGGGCCTGAAAAGAGGCTTTCTCGCCCCATTCCCTTCCACCCCAGTCTTTGGCTTCTGTGTAACAAAGGGGGTCAGAGGACCAGAGACCAAGCCCAAGAATGAAGCTAATGCAAAGAAGAGCAAACATGAGCCAGAGGATTCACAACTCAATGACATCTTTGCCCATGAAAGCCAATTAAGTCTTCCCTTTTCTCTTAGGTGGATTTTTGTCACTTACAACTAAGATTATTGACTAAAGCAGCCTTGTCATACGTCCAGGCTCTGAGTCCCTCTCTGCCTACTTCTTCAGCCTCATCTGGACCACTCCACCCAGCTCCACACTCCAGCTACTGGTGAGGTCTTCAGATCATGGACATTATCCACCCCAGCCCCTGCCCCATCCTCCACACTCCAGGGCTTTTTTTTTTTTTTAAAGATTTTATTTATTTATTTGAGAGAGAGAAAATGAGAGATAGAGAGCACGAGAGGGAAGAGGCTCAGAGGGAGAAGCAGACTCCCCGCCGAGCAGGGAGCCCGATGCGGGACTCGATCCCGGCACTCCAGGATCATGACCTGAGCCGAAGGCAGTCGCTCAACCAACTAAGCCACCCAGGCGCCCCACTCCAGGGCCTTTTAACCTGTCGTTGCTCCCTTGGCTCTTTTATCACCTCTGTTTCCCCTCAACCACCTTCTAGTCAACTTTGAACATTTCACAGAAATGTCACTTCCTCAAGGAAGCTATATCTGGCCAAGGACTAAGACAGTGCCCTGCTATATGTTCGCAAATGGTGTCCAGTCGATGAAAACCACCCTAAGGCAGTGGTTGCCTCTGCTGACAGATCATGAACCTGCACAGTGCCAGGCTTGTCATGAGGACTCAACAAATAAGAAAAGGGGCTCATGTAGGACCGACATCTTCTAGTGTGTAGGGGAAGATTCCTTCTTAAAAGCTCAGCTAAACCTTCCTCTATACCCAGTTCATCACACTCATTTGGACATGAATTATACTGTGGTCAAAGCTGGATTTCAGAAAGTCAGGATATTTATTTTACTTTTAAGTAAAATGATACTGAGGGCATGGTTTCTATGAAAAAGCTCCCTCCACCAGCCCATTGCCTTGAGACAATCAATGACTACTTTGCACCAGATATTAGCTGTTTTGTCCATAATGGCCCTATGTCCTTTCTAAGGCTTTCTCTTATCAGAGAATACTTAATGCTTTAATCAGTTATTGCCTGTTACTCTCAGTGATGGCTTACACACTGGCTTTATAGTGGGTGTCTTTTCTAAATTTTTGATTATGTGTTTATTTCTTTTCCTTACAAATATGCTGTATGTTTATTGTAAAAAATTAAATACATAATCAAAAATAAATAAATAAGTCCAAGAAACTGATATTTAAAAAAATAAATAAAAGCTCAGCCAAAAGCAACTTATTTAACATGTCCTCAGTTCCTGAAATTGAAGGGCAAAAACAAGACAAGTACTGGAAAAGGAGAAGTGAGTGGCCACAGGCCCTGTGATGCACACGGCAGTGGGCACAGACCTGCACAAGCTGCAGGACAAATGCATACATGTAATGATCTTCTAAGAACTAAAGAAATCTTGGAAGCGAGGAAAGGAGTGGAGAATAAAAGCCTTAAGGAAAAGAGAAGAAAGGTGTGCAATCACTCCATTTGGTGAGAGGGTCCGAGGTGGGAAAATGACCCACCTTCAACATTTCAGATCAACATTTGTTGGGGATCTACTGTTTTTCAATGATTGTATAGGAGTTGAGGATACAGTGATCAAAGCACCCAGCTACTAAGGAGGTCACAGTTTGGCGACAAAGACTTACTACACAGTGTGGTGACCACTCGGGTAGAGATATGAACAAGGTGCTACGAGGAGGGGAAGGTAATAGTTCCTGAGCATCTGCAGGAAATGGACATGAAACTGAGATTTCAAAGAGGGGGAAGCCAGCAAAACCGGGTGGCTTACAGGCATTTCAAAGTCCTGAACAAGAATGCCAGGGAGCTGTACACGCAGATGTCCTTAGTGCTTAGGATTTTTCTCTTTTGGTGGATGCAGAGTAACTGAGGAAGGCTGAGTGTTCTCCAGAGTGGTTGCTTGTTTCTGGGATGACGGACTGGAGGGTCATGGGCTCGCTTGAAGCCCTTGGCTGCTCCTGACGCTCCTTTAGGGCCAGTCCGCGTAGCCTGCTCACCTTGGCCTCTGTCTTCTCAGGTACCCCAGCTTTTGCTTCAAGCTTATTATTTTTTATTTTTTTAATATCTATTTATTTGAGAGAGAGAAGAGAGAACAAGCACGAGCAGAGGGGGAAGCACTCTCTCTGTGAGCAGGAGCCCGACACGGGACGCGATCCCAGGACCTGAGCCGAAGGCAGACGCCTAACCAACTGAGCCACCCAGGCGCCCTTATTTTTTATTTTTAAATAAAATATGAAATGCTTTATGAATTTGCATGTCAGCCTTGCACAGGAGCCATACTAATCTTCTGTGTATCATTCCAATTTCAGTCTATGTGCTGAGAAGCAAGCTCTACTTCAAGTTTAATTGCAGCTCGACAGAATCCTCCAAGTACAACCACCCGGTGGCCAAGCAGAGCTGGACCGACCTCCCACACGTCTCTCTCACAGCCTCCTCCCATCCCCACCAGAAAGGTGGTCAGGGAGAGAGAACGTCTGTCCCAGCCAGAACCATGCAGGGTGATGGACACATCTAGAAGGGTCAGCCTTGGGGCAAAATGTTAACCAGAAAAGTTCTGAGGGGATACTCCCATTGACTCTGATGGTAAGGAACATTGTCTCTTGTGAGGCACTACAATTAATGCTCTTTTCCTTTATTTATTTTTTTTAAGATTTTATTTATTTATTTGACAGAGAGAGAGAGAGAGCACAAGCAGGGGGAGCAGGCAAAGGGAGAAGCAGGCTCCACGCTGAGCAAGGGGCCCAATGCGGGGCTCGATCCCAGGACCCTGAGATCACGACCTGAGCCGAAGGCAGACACCTAACCCACTGAGCCAGCCAGGCGCCCCAAGTTATTTTATTTATTTATTTATTTATTTAAGATTTTATTTATTTATCTGACAGAGAGACAGAGAGAGAGGGAACACAACAGGGGGAGTGGCAGAGGGAGAAGCAGGCTTCCTGTGGAGCAGGGGCCCGATGCGGGACTCGATCCCAGGACCCTGGGATCACTACCTGAGCTGAAGGCAGACGCTTAACGACTGAGCCACCCAGGCGCCCCACAAGTTATTTTAAATTTAAAACTACTTCACTGTTAAAAACTATTACCAGAGTAATACATATTCATGAAAACCAATTGGAAAACACAAATTAGCAAAACAAAGTAGAAAAGATTCATGATCCTACCTCCTAGAAAAAAAGACTGTTAACACTTTACATATAAATATCGAATATATTTATACATTAATAAAAATATTTTATTAAATAAAATAATTTTATTTATTAAATAAAAAATCTATATAATAGCTATCTATACAAATAGGTAGATATTACATATCTCCAAATTTATGTGTATTTAGACATGACACACATACAAGACATATATAAATTACAAGTGTACAGCTAAATTTTCACAACATGAACACATCTATATAGTCCCACCCTGATAAAAAAATAGAACATTACCACCACCCAGAAGCCCCAATTATGTTCCCTCCCAGTCATCATTCCCTCCTCTTCAATAGGAACATCATGGAGGGAGGGCAGAGGGGGGGTTGCTGCTTAAGTTCAAGCACTTGACAGAGGTCATGGATACACAACACTGAATGTACTGAATGCCACTGGATCAGACACTTAAAAATGCTTACAACAGTAAATCCTATGTTACATATATTTTCCCACAAATAAAAAAAATGACTGAAAAAAGTAACCACAATTCTGACTTCTAACAGCACACATTGACTTTGCTAAATTTTATATAAAGGGAATCTTAATCTTTGTGTGGTTTTTTAGACATTATGTTAGTGAGATTCGTGGGCACTGCTGAGCACACTCCCCGTTCAAACACGCCCTCGTTCATCCACGCCACTGCTGAGGGACTTGTGGTGTTTCCTGTTTTGAATTATTAAAAATAATATACTGCCATGAACATACTTGTTCATTTTTTTTAAAGATTTTATTTATTGGGGCGCCTGGGTGGCTCAGTTGTTAAGCGTCTGCGTTCGGCTCAGGTCACGGTCCCAGGGTCCTGGGATCGAGTCCCGCATCGGGCTCCCTGCTCTGCAGGGAGTCTGCTGCTCCCTCTCCCTCTGCAGCTCCCCCTGCTTGTGCTCTCTCACCTGCTCTCTCTCACTCTCTCTCTCAAATTTAAAAAAAAAGAATTTTTTAAAAATTTTAAAAATTAAAATTTTAAAAATTTTTTAAAAATTAAAAAAAGGATCAATCTGTAAATCTAGACTTGTAACTTCCACTTACTGTTTCTCAAATACCTCTCTATGCCAGTGAGTGTTCTTTGGTAACTATTTTTAATAGTTGCAGTGTATTCCACTTCAGGTAAATTTCTGCACATTTTTTTTTTAAGATTTTATTTATTTATTCATGAGAGACAGAGAGAGAGAAGCAGAGGGAGAAGCAGGCTCCCGCGGAGCAGGGAGCCCGATGCGGGGCTCGATCCCAGGACCCTGGGACCATGACCTGAGCCGAAGGCAGACGCTTAACCGACTGAGCCACCCAGGCGCCCCGCATATTTCTTTAATAATTTCCAAGTGACATTGATGGATCAAAGATTTTTAAGTTTTTAAATTACTGATGTATTGGTAAAAACTGACCTCCTGCAGGCTTCATACTATTAGGGTTGCCCTGGGCCTTAGGCTAAGGCTCCGAGGCGAGCAACTCCACCCTCAGCCTAAGCTGAGCCCCCCGCACCCTCTGTTCTCCCTAACCTTTCTTCCCCATCTCCTTCTACTCTGAGGCCCAGTTCTTTCAGAATGTCCCCCCACTTCCATCTAAGTAACTTCTTTATATTCCTTCTTGGGAGTTATTCCTAATATCACCCTTCAAGGCCGTTACCGCTCCCGATCCCTGTGTTCATCACTCTGTATTACAGTTGATTTATGTGCCTCCAGGTTATCCATGGCTGTGCGCTCCTGAGGGCAGCATCAAGGGAGCAGCGGCTGTTGTGGAAGGAGCCTCCCCTCTGTGCCAGGAGTCACTGCCTCCCCGATGCCCCTACAGTTCCCCACAAAGAGCCAGTGCCCAGCACATATGTGTTGAGTCTGTGACAGAACACTGTGCTTCTGGGAGCAAGTCAAAGGAGAAAGCCGCTCACTGTGTCCCAAACAGGTGCATCTGCTCACTCTGGTAACACATACCCTTTTGGAGAAAAAAAAACCAAAAATCCCTACGTTCATTTTTAATAGAGCAGCCAGAATGACCTTTTAACATTTTAATCAGATCATGCCACTCCTAGCTTAAAATATGTCATGGTTTCCCTCTGCACTCTGAATAAAACCCGCACAACCTACCGTGGTCTCCGCAACTCAACCCCCGCTTTCGCCACTGGCCTCATTTCCTACCCTCTCTCCTCTCCTGAGACCCAAGGTATGCTGATCCTCCACTTTCCAAAAACTTTAAAAGCTCTTTACCAGGTGCACCATTCTAACCACTTTTCTCATGTTACGTCGCCCAATCTCCCAACAACCGCATGAGGTATAGGTGCGAGGACAATCTCCCTGTTGCAGGAACAGAAACCGAAGCACAGAAAGGCTGAGTAACTTGCCTGGATAAGGTCCTCCTTGATCTTAAAGCCAAGCCCAAGTTCCTAAACGTGGTTTTGAATATCTACCAATACTTAATCTCTGCCTGCCTCATCTGTGTCTCTCCCCAGACACAGCCTTCCTGCCCTTCCTCCAGCTTGCTATGGTCCTACCTCAGAACCCTCCCACGTGCCACCCTTTCCTCCAGGGACAGCGTCCAGCCCTTCTCCTCCCTGAGGAATGCTACTTATCCTTCAGGATTCAGTGCGCCGCTTCTTGCGGGATCAGGGCTCCAGTCTTGCCCTCTGAGGCACGTCCCATAGCTGCGATGAAGTGCCCGCCTTATGTCCGCCCTCCCACCGGGCTGAACGCAGGGTCGGACGCATTCACTGCTACCAACCATGTGGCAGGTGGAATCCTGTGCCTCCTGAGTCAGCTTCCCCCAATGGAATGCAGGCTCCACAGGAGTGGGGAGTTTTGTTTTACTCACTCCTGTTTCCCTAGCACCCAAGGATTCATTAAGTGACTGTAACCATCAGTTCCCGTCATGTCTAATGCCCCTGCCCTCCACATTTCAGCAGACAGGACTCCACACTAGGCTTCTACCAGAGGGCTCTCCCAGCCGGAGAGCTGAGGTACAAACGGATCAGCAGAGAGGAAGACACCCCTCTCCCCTCAGTGACCAAGACTTTCGAGTTTCTGGAGTCCGTGCAACACCGTGGGAGTGTCTCGTCAGTTTGTTTCCTTCCATTAAAACCCTTTACAAAACATGGAATTCAAGGGTGCCCGGGTCCCCCAGTCGGTTAAGCGTCTGACTCTTGGTTTTGGGTCAGGTCATGATCTCAGTCGTGCGATTGAGGCCCGCGTCCAGCTCTGCACCGAGCTGAGCATGGAGCTTGCTTATTAGGATTTTCTCTCCTCTCCCTCTGCCCCTCTCCCCGTGCTCACTCTAAAAAAAAAGTAAAATTTTTTAAAAACCATAAATTAACTAATTAATTAAAATATGGAATTCAGGATTTTCCAAATGGTTGCATCTGTGGGGATTTTTTTGGTTAAGGACTGGTGTCAAGCTATGTGAAAACCTCCTGAGAAAGCATCAGAGGGAGGCAGAGTGGGGCAGAAGGGCAGGGACTGGAGAGAAGCCCAGCACGCTGCTTACCAGCTGTGTGTCCTTGCGTAGCCACTGCTTACCCCCCACTTGTAAAACAGGGATAAAAAAAAATGCCTACCTTGCAAAGCTGTTGGGGGGACTAGAAATACTTGCAAGATACCCTGACTCGGGAAGTGCTCAGTAAGTGGGAACTGTTCCCGCAGCCTTCTGTGTGCTACCGTCTTGCACCCACAGACACAAAGGGGACATGGGGCCAACTCTTCGGGCTCCCCCAGGGAGATCAACGGCCCCAGGAAGAGCAGAACACGTCTCAAACGTCTCTCAACACCCAGAGCTCAACTTGGCCAAAGAAGGCCTTTATCAGCCGCCGCTGACCTGATAAACGGGCAGCCCAGCACCGAGCCCCAGGGTCTGCAGCCCGCTCCCCATAAAGCCCAATCATTTTAGCCCGGGTGGGAGGAGCCGGCAACCTGGCCCGCGGCTCACGCGCTGAGCCCGCCCGCAGAATTCCCCAGGCCCAAGCACAGGCTAAGCCGGGGCCCCGGGCAGAAGGAGGCCGGCTGCGGGCCTCCAAGGCTCCGGACTGTCCGCCGCGCAGTCCCCGGTGGCAGTGCCACCTAGCGAGGGCCAGGGCCACCGCGACAGGCAGCAGCCGCCGCCTCGGTCGGGCTGCGGTCGCTCAGGCTGGCGGGTCACACCGGCGCTGCCCTGCGCCCGCGCCCACGAGGGAAGCCCACGCCGCGCCCCAGCCTCGTCCCCACCCGCGGGGGCTGACGAGGCGAGGCTCAGCGACCGACCACGCCCCGGACGGAAGGGACCGCACACTGCAGCGGCGTCTCCCTTCGGCGCCCGGCAGTCGTCTGGAGCAGGCACTGTGCGCACTCGCCCGGCCCAGAGCCACCGCACAGACGAGGACACTGAGGCTCACAGGGGCGGGGATTAACCGCAGGTCACACGCCCGGCCGGCGGCGGGCCGGGGCCAAGCCTGCGAGCCCCAGGAGCCGCTCGCGGGCTCCCGCCCAGCCAGTAGCCGCGGGCCCCCCCCCCCCCCCCCCCCCCCCCGCAGGCCCGGCGCGGCTCGAGCGCGGGCAAACACGCCGGGGCAAGGACGCGGGTCCCGCGCGCGGGGCCCCTGGGAGCACGCGGCGCCCGGGCACGTGACAGGGGAGCGCCGGCAGGGCTGACGCGCGCGCGCGCGCACGACGTGCGTAAGCACGCGCGGAGGCGCCGAGAGCGCCGGGCCCAAAGCCCCTGGGTCACGTGTGGAAGGCGGCCGGCGAGCACCAGGGGGCGGGCGAGAGGGAGAGGTCACGTGAGGAAGGCCGGCGCCGCGCGGTCACGTGAGGGGCGGGGCGGGCCGCCGAAGCGGAGGGGGAGGGGCGCGCGGCTTCCGGCGGCTGGGGGCCGGCGAGCGGGGGGGCCCCGTCCCGGAGGCGGCGGCGGCGCCATCTTGGCGAAGGGGGGATCAGGAAGTGCGGACCGCGGCGGCGGCGGCGGCGGCGGCGGCGGCGGCGGAGCCCGAGCGGAGGCCGGAGGCTCCCGGCCCGCCGGCCCCGGAGCGGAGCGGAGCGGAGGATGCAGCAGCCGCAGCCGCAGGGGCAGCAGCAGCCGGGGCCGGGGCAGCAGCTGGGGGGCCAGGGGGCGGCGCCGGGGGCCGGGGGCGGCCCGGGGGGGCGCCCGGGGCCGGGGCCCTGCCTGAGGCGAGAGCTGAAGCTGCTCGAGTCCATCTTCCACCGCGGCCACGAGCGCTTCCGCATTGCCAGCGCCTGTCTGGACGAGCTGAGCTGCGAGTTCCTGCTGGCCGGGGCTGGAGGGGCCGGGGCGGGGGCCGCGCCCGGACCGCATCTGCCCCCGCGGGGGCCGCTGCCCGGGGATCCCGTCCGCATCCACTGCAACATCACGGTGAGGACCCCTCGGTGCGCCCCTCCGGGCCCCTTGTCAGGGACTTGGGGCCACCCCGCACAGCGGCTTGCCCCCGAGGACCTGGGAGGCCCAGTCTCCCCGGCTCTCGGGGCTCGGCTCCTTCCCGGCGGGTTCCCCTTGCTTCTGCCGCTGGAGCTTGTGCCGTGCGCCCGGAGTCTGCCACGGCCCCTTGGCGGCGAGGGGCGCCCCGACATATGGCGCCTCGACCAGCCCCTGCCGCTCACCCACACCCCGAGGGTCGTGATGTGGCCCCCCGCGACTTTGCCTTCCCGCCTGCGAGGGCCCCTTTCTTCCCCTGCTGTCACCGCAGGGCCCCGGGCCTCTGCCCTGAGCACAGCTGCAGGGACCTGCCTGGCCTGGAGCCCTGCACCATTCAGTGATGCCCCCCGGTCGCTCCTACCTGTGACTTAGGACACGGTGCCACCTGTGGGATCCCTGCGCCGGCACCTCTGCCGAAGCCCCCCGTTGCTCCCAGAATATTACCAAGTGGGGGTTCGCAGGTCGTGGGCTCTTCTTTTTGTTCTGCTTCTCTGGTTCCCCTTGCATTCCAGCGTAACCTGTGATTCTCCTCCTTTTGCCCCAGCCGGGAGCAGATCTGCTACTCCCCTCCTGTGCCCTGGGGTATCTCCAGCTGCCCTGGGTGGTTGCCTTTCTTGGTGATGTGGGAAGGCCATCCTCTTGGTTCTGAGCGGTAACGGCCCCTTTCTCCCCAGCGAACGTCATGCCTAGCATGGGAGCTAGCATAGCTGAACCAGGAGGCACCCTACATGTCCCCTGTCTATGCGTTTTCAGACACCTCTGCAAGAGGGTCAGCGTCGGAGAACCTGGGGAGGCTTAATACTGCGCGGCGGAGCACTGATCCTGGCCGAACGTACCTGCTGTGATAGCGTTCTCCTTGCCAGGGGCCTTAGGGGGCCAGGGGACAGGCAGGCCGACTGCAACTGCCAGTAGTCTGGGGAGAGACTGACCTGCCAGTTGCGTGGTACTGGGGGGCCTGATTGCAGTTTACGTGGTCCTTGTTTTCCATCCCTTTTCCTCCATCAAACCAGGTCAAGGCGTACGGCAAGCCTCAGCCTGGGTTGGATGGTGCCCCACCAAAACGCATGTCCCATTTCCTCCTTCCTCCACTTTTTTCGCACTAAAAAGTTGAGATTGAGGGACTGGGTGTGGTTTCGTGAGGTGAAGGCTTGAGCATCTTCTTTGCGATCGTTTTTTCCAGCACTGAGGGCTAGTGCTGTGACAGAGCTCAGGCCCCCAGTAGAAGCGGGTAGGTTTCCCTGATGTGGGTGGAAACCCCAGGAGCTGATTCTGTTCCTGTGTTGAACTTCCAGCTCCTGGAGGGTAGGTTTGCCCCCTTCTAGCTGCCCTTCTAGCGGCCAGAGTCCATCCACTGTCTTTGTGCCCGGAAGGAAGTTAGTTTAGGAGGTTCTCAGTCAGACCCCCTGTGGCCCCTGCAAAGGAGACCTGGCCTGAACTGGGCCCCTGGGTTTGGGCAGAGGGGGAGTCTGGTCAGGCTGCATTTGGCACCGTGGCTCAGGAATGCTGGGAATGCTAGCAGCGTAGGCTTCTTCCTCCCAGCCTGCCATGTGGAGCCCTGCAGCCCACACTGGGCAGAGAGGGTGGCAGGCTCCCAAGGGAGCGATGGGGAGAACTGGCCTTCCAGGGCGTCTGCTGGGAGTGACCGGGTGGGGAGAGTCTTCCTGCTCCTTTCTTTTAGGTTCTGGAGACAGAATCTAGTTTATGTCTCTCCTTCTCTAGCCAAAGTGAAAGTGATCTGCAACCTTTGCTTTTTTTTCACATTGGTGTCATTGTGATGAGGGGACCCCTTCCCGAACGGACCGTGGGATTGGAGGAGCGGCAGGGCTGGCGGGCCCTGTGCTGGGAGCGGGAGAGCCCGCACCGGCAGCATGGTGGAGAGGAGACCCCCCTCCCCCCCCGCCGCACCGTGCACAGTGTGGCTGCACTTTGTCGGATCTTGCTCTTGAGAAGAGAAAGAAGCCTTCAGGCTTTTTGGAAGGGGCCCTCTCGGGGACTTCTCCTGGTCTGGGGTTCGTTGGGAGGCTGTTCGGTTAGGTACTAACCCGCTGAGCTGGGCTTTTGTTGGGGGCAGGAGGGGCAAAGGGACTAGAAATGTTGGGGGGAGAGGAGGCAGGCAAAATGTAGCCCTTCCCAGGGTCTCCCGTCTTGACCACTGTCCCTGCTCTCTCCCCTCAGGAGTCCTACCCTGCTGTGCCTCCCATCTGGTCAGTGGAGTCCGATGACCCGAACTTGGCTGCTGTCTTGGAGAGGCTGGTGGACATAAAGAAAGGGAATACTCTGGTGAGGGGCCAGGGTGCTGGGGTGGGGGGCACCTTTTCTTGCTGTGAGGCCCATGTCACAGAGATACCCTGTGAAAGGGAGACATACCTGGAAAGGGCACATCTGGGGACAGACTCCTCAGAAGAGGTGTTTTCTGAAGCCGGAGGGAGAGCCTTGAGCTAAACCCAGCATTGGTCCAGGAAACTCCCCCCACAGCCACACGGTCCCCAAGATTCAGAGAACTAGGTACCACATGGGGTTTTAGGAGTTCATCCACACACCTGTCCGGAGTGGATGGGGCCGGAGCATTTGACTCCAGCACTGTGTCCCCTACCCCAGCTGTTGCAGCATCTGAAGAGGATCATCTCCGACCTGTGTAAACTCTACAACCTCCCTCAGCACCCAGACGTGGAGATGTTGGACCAGCCCCTGCCAGCAGAGCAGGTGAGCGGCGGAGGGGCTCCGGGGGCCCTGTGGCACTCAGTGAACACCTGTCCATCGAGACACACCCGCAGTAGTGTCTCTCCCTTTCTGGCCCCTCCAGACACGTACGCGTGTCATGGCTCTCGGCTTTGCCATCTCCAGACAGGGCACTAGTGGCCTCACCTGTCACATTCATCCCCAGGCATGTCTCCCGGGTTGAGGGTTAGGGGCCTTTTTACTGTTAGCGATAGCAGTGGGCGGCCATCGGGGACCCGGGCTCCTCTCTGAGACCCAACGGCGTGGCGTCAGTCTAGAGGCGAGAGGGGATCTTGGAAGAATCGCACCGGGCCATGTGCGTGGGTGACACACACAGCCACTGGGCATCTCCTGATCTTTAGCTCGTGGCGGGAGGAGGACAGGCTGCCAGTGAAGTCGCTCCCTGGGCTATGGCTTCCATTCGGACCCGGCTGGCAGAGCGGCTGGGGCGCGAGCGCGGGGACGCGGGCAGAGGTTGGAGGCTGTGCGCTGGGGGGCCACTGGGGCTCTGATCTCTGCCTTCCCCTCCCGCCGCAGTGCACACAGGAGGATGTGTCTTCAGAAGACGAAGACGAGGAGATGCCTGAGGTAGGGTTGCCCCCGGGGCGGCGCTGCGGGCAGGCCTTGGCAGTCAGCAGCATTGAGCACCCGCTGTTTACGGCGCTGCGGGCAGGCCTTGGCAGTCAGCAGCATTGAGCACCCGCTGTTTACGGCGCTGCGGGC